CATGGCAATCCCATGGCATCTCTGAATTCATTGGCATCAGGCGATGCTATCGCTGCCAGCAGTTCGGGCACAGTCAAGACGCATGCAGGTCAAAGAAGATCTTCTGCGGCTTCTGCTCCGGCCCGCATCCAACCAGATGTTGCACAGCTGAGCAGCCCTCATGTATTAACTGTGGGGACTCAAACTGTAGATGGGGCACAAGGTACAACTTCTTTCACCCGACTTATGCTACCGAATGCCCAGTCTACCAGCGGGCAGTCGATACAATCCGCAGCAATACGGATTATTAATGACAGACCAGCTTGCACGACCTCGTTATGGTGAAAACAGTAAGCAGATGAAAGATCCATCAACGACAAAGGATGCACTTAACATAATGCAGTCGGAACGACAATCAGAAACCAGGTGCCTGCAGATCAACCTACAGCATGCACGTGCAGCAACATCGCAGACAGCTCTCTACGCTGCAGAGGAACGAATAGACCTAATCTTAGGTCAAGAACCATACTGCAGGAATGGTAAAGTAGTCGGCTTCCCCTTACAATGGAGCATTTATCAAAAAGAAGATATCGATCAACCACCAAGAGCATTTATAGCAAACTGCAACCCCAAATGGTCACCATTAATGATAGCAGCCGAAAGGGACTTTGTAGCAATACTATTAGAGGTACTAAATCTAACAGTGGTTCTGGTTTCAATCTACTCTCCACCAACAGAAGAAGCAGATCCCCACATTAGAACGCATACAACGATTGATGAGATCGCACCGAATAGCTAACATACTATTTGCTGGAGATTTTAACGCACACAGCACCACCTGGGGCTATGCAATCACAGCTCCTAAAGGCCGCATACTCGAGGACTTTGTTCACAGCAGTAACCTCGTAATTCACAATCGTTCGGATGCACCGCCTACATTCAATAGACTACACTCGCGCGGCTGGCCAGACCTTACCATCACCACCCAACAGATGGCACCCATACTGCAAGACTGGACAGTCGTCGAAAACCTTAGTATCTCCGACCATAATTATATACGGTTTAATCTAGCAAATAGCACAGCCACCTCTATTCTTAAACGGTACAATCTCCCTGGACGGAAAGTTCGAGCATTCACAGCCATCATTAGAGCCCGTCTGGCACCTTTTGCAACCGCAATAAGACAGGCCAACAGCAAAGAGGCCCTCCAGAACCTCACCCAAGACATCTTAACCGCAATCAAGAAGGCATGTGATGAAAATCTTCCCCTGCGCACGGCCAAAAGAATCACAACGCTGAATTGGTGGAATGGCACGCTTCGAAGTCAACAACAACGGTGTCGTGCTCTACGGCGACGCCTAAAGCAAGAGCGCAGACATAACCTAGAAACTTCCACCCTGCTCATTTACCAACGGGAGCGAGCACTCTATAAGCGAATGATTCTGGAAGCTAAGATAAGCAGCTGGAGAAAATTCTGCACAGAAACTACGACCACCTTTGGTATCCACCACAAAATCGCAGCTGGCAAACTCTTCAAGCCGGCAACTCTCTACCTCCAGCCAACGCCAAATACTAATGACCATCTCACGGAGGCTACGTTATCAGAGAGATCCTAAGGACAGTCTTCACCAAGGACAACCCGACAGAAGACACAGCCTTTCATACCATCGTCCGAAACCAGCCTCTTGAAATAAATACCATGGATGACCCTGATATTACAACTGCAGAAATACTCCAGGTCCTGCGCCAGCTTCCGCAGCGTAAAGCACCTGGACCAGATGGCATCGACAACCGGATAATAAAATTAATAGTGCGAACAAATGTCAACATCTTCCAACTGCTATTTAATCAGCTTCTTCGTACCGGGACATTTCCCAGGTGTTTCAAAATCGGTCATGTAGTCTTGTTCCTGAAGAAGAACAAAGATCCTACGAGACCAGAGTCATTCAGACCGATCTGCTTACTCTCTACCCTGGGTAAGGTTTTCGAAAAGGTACTCATGACAAGGCTAAGATACCATCTGCACAGAACCCGGTTCCTGAGTCCAATTCAATTTGGGTTTACCCCAGGTAAATCAACACTACATGCTCTGATGGAAGTCAAAAACCAAATACTGGCTAACAGATCCTCTGGCTACCACACAGCGTTCATTTCAATAGATCTTAAGAGCGTTTTTGATACGCTGTGGTGGCCAGCAATATTACAAGCTCTACGAACCGCTGACTGCCCAAGCAATATTTACAACACCATCGTAAACTATTTAGCGGACCGCCGGCTGATCCTTCCACATAACAGCGGAATTATAGAACAAGATCAGACACAGGGATGCCCGCAAGGCTCATGCGCCGGACCGTTCCTATGGAACATAACCTTCAACGGAGTCCTCAACAACCCATGGCCTGACCATACAAGGATCATCGCTTACGCAGACGATACAGCCCTAATCGTCAAAGGAAGAACCAGGGAAAAGCTCCAGGCCAATGCAATCGAATCCTGCTCCCTTTTTCAGGAAAGATGCACAGCCCTAAAACTTCAAATAGCAGAGGCCAAATCTCAAATTTTGCTCGTCCCAAAAAAAGGCGGATCGCTGGCAAGACAGCCAAGGATAACTTTAAACGGACATCGCCTCCGCATCACTCCAGTGCTGAAATATCTAGGAATTCTCTTCGACACCAAATTAAACTGGATCCCCCCATGTGCTGGAGCTGAAAAAGAAAACTGCAAGATTAGCCCAACAACTAAGATATATGCAGGGCTATAAATGGGGTCTCAATCCCTATATCCAGAAAACGCTTTACACAACAGTAGCCGAGAAAGTTATAACTTATGGAGCGGCTGTTTGGTCAGCGCCTATGCAGGGCCGCAAAGTCAAGCATCTACTTAGCATACAAAGGCCTTTTCTCCTGAATGTCACCAAGGCCTTCCGAACATCCCCTACAAATGCGTTATGCGTACTAGCGGGATTGCTACCGCTCCATCTGAGCGTAGAAAAGGAAGCAGCCTATCAGGAGATCACTCAACTTGGCAATCTAACCACCTTCAGAGACGAGCTATACTCACCAGCCGAATTTGAACAAAAGATGATACGCCTTGCCGATCACCCCTCAACGCAGGGACAGGGAGTAAAGATTAGCATCAAGCAAAACACCAATGTAAAGGAAGATGATCTAGTCTATTATACCGACGGGTCAAAACTAGATGAAAATACAGGTTGCGCCTATGTTGCCCTCAGACAGCAAAGCACAATAGCACAATGGAAAGGTCACCTGGACACAAACAACAGCGTGTTCCAGAGTGAAGTAATGGCCATCAAACAAGCTCTACTTACGATAATCCAACAGCGGCAAAGAGACAGCTTCATTATAACAGACAGCCTCTCCTCCCTGTATGCAATTGTGAACCCTGTGCACAGCTCCCCACTGATTGCAGAGATTCAGACACATCTGCGCGACCACAGCCATCTTAACACCAGGATAGAATGGACCAAGGCCCACGTCGGCAACAGGGGGAACGAGCAAGCAGATCAACTTGCAAAGGAGGCTGCAAGAAACATCAATGCGGAACATATCACCATCCCTTGGCCAGTTTCATATTTAAAGAAAAGTCTGAAACACAAGGCAAAATCCGTTTGGCAGGAGGAATGGGATACTGGTGAGACAGGACGCCGTGCTCACTATCACGTCCCTACGGTAGACTCAGACCGTCTCATAGTGCATGCACAAATGGTCCGATACATTACCGGACACGGTCCTTTTCCCGTGTACTATGAAAAACACGGGATCGCACAAAATGCACATTGTATATGTGGTGAGATGGGCACCCCAGATCATTATGTTACCCAATGCCCGCTTACAGCAGATCTGCACCTGCCAATTCCAACTACAAACACGCAGGCTTTCTGCAGATTTATGGTTAAAGACAAACGTACTGTCCGAAAAATCAACAAGATAGTTGATAAACTCATGAACGTGGGCACAGACTTATGTCTAATCTAAAGCAAACGTGCTAAGATATGATATGCAAATGCAAGGTGGAGTGTGCAACGCCATTTACCATGTGCCATGTATCGTGTAAATTAAAAACCATGTCATACAAACTCCATGTATATATAACTATCGGCATGATGTGCTACGAGCAGCTCACAAACTAAAACTGTAAATATTGCAAATGAACTGAGTCAGTAATGAACATTACGCACTGAGGTCAGTTATCGTGCATATAACTATGCACTTTGCAGCGCGTATAACTGCCTTCAACAGAACAGCAACGTGTCAATACTGGCAAATTACGCAATGCAGGACAGTTCATGTACTACGCGTACTAATACCATCACATCCATATACCGCGACCTATTCTAAGGTGCGAAATGTAAGTAATGGAGAAATGCACAGATGCAAAATTCTGCAGTAATATGCTAACTGTAAATGCAAAAGTAATCTATGTATATTAGGAATGCTAATGTAATCCATTATATGTTTTTGTACATGGTAAATATATTAATGTAATGATTAAGCAATGTATTATAAGTGTAAAGAACTTCGGTACAGAATAACATTGTAAAGCTTACCGGTTTAATTAAAAGGAGTAATGTAATATGCACTTTCGTATAAGTTAGTCAGTATAATTTATCCTGCATAATGTTTCACCAGTGCATAACAAATTTCCCTGCGTGTAACTTAACACGCATCATGTATATACCCCCTTCTGTGCATAATGTTTTTTCTACGTATCACTAATTTCCCTGTGTTGAATGCGCAGCCAGTGCAAAACAACATTATTACAATCTGATGATAATGTATCTGTTACCAGTATACGGTATATTAGGAAAGAAAATTAATGTAATAGTATTGGGAAGTTAATGTAATGTTAAGGTAAGGCGTTATTTTGTCTTGTCAATCTGATGTGTAGAATATAATGTAATGTGTAAACCATGTATCGCAATATAAAATATGTAGTGTAGTATGTACTGATAAACTATCTTGTTAATTTGATATGTAGTACATTATCTAATACGTAAGCCAAGTATCGTAATATGTAATGTAATCGTAATAGTGTCATATGTATCATAATATATAATGTAATATGTAATGCAATCGTATTAGTGTCATATGTATCATAATAAATAATGTAATATGTAATGTAATCGTAATAGTGTCATATGTATCATAATATATAATGTAATATGTAATGTAATCGTAATAGTGTCATATGTATCATGATATATATTGTAATATGTAATGTAAACGTAATATTGTCATATGTATCATAATATATAATGTAATATGTAATGTAGTCGTAATAGTCTTATATGTATCATAATATATAATGTAATCGTAATAGTGTCATATGTATCATAATATGCAATGTAATATGTAATGTAGTATGTACTGATTAATGAGCAACATGACACAGAATGCAAAGCCCAACTGAAGAAATGTGAATGCAAACTTTATAATAGTATTATGCATAACGATGTAGGCAGTGTATCGAGAAGCCTATCATGTGAATAAGTTATCCTGTATAATGCAATACCTGTGTATAACTAATTTCCTGTGAATAATCTAACCCGTATCGTGCTTATAACCCCCTATTGCGTATAATGTTCCTATGTATCATTAATTTCCCCGTATATAATGTAATGTGTACCCAGTGTATAATGATAATATAATGCGTATCCTGTGTCTAATGCGAATCCTGTGCAAAATAACCCTTTTATAATGTACCAATATAGGGTTTATTAGAAAAGAATTTTAATGTAATAAGTTGATGTGAAGTTAATGTAATGTTAGGATAAGGTATTAATTTGATGTGTATATTTAATGTTATATATAATTTGTAGTATATATAATGCAATGTGTAAATCATGTATCGTAATATATAATGTAATATGAAATGTAAGATAAAGGTGGACGTGGTGCTGTACTGATTAAACCCAAATGGTAAAGGGACAGTGCCCACGTCCTCCGTCGCTTATCGCTTTGGTACTATCTACGGCAAAAGAACATTGACAGCTTAATAGACTCCATGCTCAACGAGTATCGGCTTATAACTAGCCGGGGGGCTTTCCCTACTGATTTCACATCTTACTGACTCGGGTAAAAAAAAACAAAAAAAAAAAAAAAAAAAAAAAAAAAAAAAAAAAAAAAAGAAAGAAAGAAAGAAAAAAAAATTCGCCCCAGTTTTTGATCATTTGTTTATTTATCCATTCGAACATTATACTACTGCCGAGTTTCGTAGTTGCGGCTCAATTTTTCTTGGTTTGGGTTTGGTTTATTTAATTACGGCAAAGCACACTAGGGCTATCTGCCTAGGGGGAGGGACGCCTTCGTGGAGGACTTTCTGAGGGAAGCTGACTCGTATACACGTTACACATGGGAAAAACCACGAAAACGCCCATGCAGCCAGCCCGTTCGCGGGATTCGAACCTCGGACCGAACTACCAGTGTTCAGCGACTTCGCCGCTCTGCCGCAATTTTTCCTGGATGCATATATTTTTTTTTGTAATAGAGTGTATATAGGACACGTAATTATAAATTATAATTTACATTAGCAATAGCCCTTTAATTCCTCTTTTAAATTTGGGTACCTCCCCTCTGTATTCTAAAATCAGTAATAGCTTTTCTTAATTGCGCCACTGAAAACTAGGCTACAGTGTCATCTGCATTACGTAGAGCTCTCGGCCAATCACTTTCAAAACTTAAACATTCACACATTTGTGTATGCTAGTTTCCGCGAGCTAAGCTCAGTCGCTATTACTAGCAGCTTGAAGATGTCCCGTTTCGGGAAGACCTCATTGATTCTAAAATTTACGGTTTTGTAAATAAGTATTTAAAAAAAAAAATGCAGAATGAGAGGAAGGATTTTAATTATCACACTACACATCACAATTACGCTATTTAAATAGTAAATAAACCACACAGATAATTATCTAATACAGGTCTTCAACCTTTTAGTCCCTAAGAGCGTATTCTAGAATATCGGTTGGAGGGCGGGCACCATTTACTTTTTCAAGGTGAATTTATAGTAGGATGGAGTTAATAATACATTCACATAAAAAAAAAAAAAAAGATCGATTGAATTTTGCTTTGTGTTGGTATCTGTGTTGGACGCAATTTCTATTTCATTAAAAATGAGAAAACTTTCACATAGAATTTTATTAATAACTAAAACATTTTTATTGTGATCACACAGCGGTGGGCACACGTTAAGCGATCTGCGGGCGCCATGGTACCAGCGGGCATAGGGTTGGGAACCCCTAATCTATTGTAATATACACTGCTCGACATTGGAAATGCAACACCAAGAAGGAGTGGTCAGAAATTTATGCAAATTTTAGAGTAGACGCACGTCACTGAGTTATGCGAATGATGTGAAATGCGCAGCTCTCCGACGCATGTGAAGTAAGACATAAGGGAAGGAACGAGCAGAATGGGCAACATTCGTGTCGTTATTTCTGCCAGACGAATTATCGAAGAAAGTTGGTTTCTGTCCCGGAGGATACGTGTAATAGGAGAGAATGCCAGGCTGCCGTCAACGAAGGCACTTCCAGCAGATAGAGAATTTTACGAGGGTTATGGTGATCGGACTGAGAAGGGCGGTTTGGTCCTTAAGTCAAATCGCAATTGATACCCACATGGATGCGAGCACGGGGCATTGGCTATGGCGAACATGGTTGGAACAAGGAAATGTGGGAAGAAGGAGGGATGCAGGTGCAGCCAGAGTGACATCAGCTCGCGTAGATCGACGCATCCGCCGACAAGCTGTGGCGGTCCCGCAAGTCACTTGTACCGCGATTCTGCAGCATGTGCAAGATACCCTAGATATTCTCGTGTCGACCAGAACCATTTCCTGTCGATTGGTTGAACGTGGCCTGCACTCGCGGCGTCCGTTAAGAAGACTGCCATTGACCTCACAGCATACACGGCAACGTTTAGAATGGAGCGATGAGGATGACAGAATGGCGAAACGTCGTGTTCTCGGATGAGTCACGCTTCTGTTTATCCAGTGACAGTCGCCGCATACGTGTGCGGAGTCGACGTGGAGACAGGTCTAATCCGGCAGTAACTGTGGAACGCCCCACCTCGCGACAATGTAGCATAATGGTTTGGGGCGCTATTGCCTACGATTCCAGGTCACCTCTAGTTCGTATTCAGGGCACTATGACGGCCCAACGATACTTGGATAATGTACTGCGGCCGGAGGCTCTCCCCTACATTCAGGGGCTGCCTAATGCAATTTTTCAGCAGGATAACGCCCGACCACACAGTGCTCGCATCTGCCAACATGCTCTGCAAGGTATACAGATGCTTCCTTGGGCACCGTACTCTCCTGACCTGTCACCAATCGAACATGTGTGGGATGGGATTGGACGCCGTTTGCAGACTCTGCCCCTGCCTCGTTCAGAAGATGAATTGTGGCAAATGGTTGAAAGGGAATGGAGAGACATCCCTCAGGACACCATTCGCACTCTTATTGACTCTATGCCTAGACGTGTTTCTTCGTGCATCGCTGTCCGCGGTGGTCCTACATTCTACTGAGCCGACGCCGTTCTCGCTCTGTATTCTGACTAATCATTTTGAAATAAAGATCACTTATTGCTGCTTGCTGTCTCTGTCGTTTTTCCAAATTTCATCATTTTCTGACCACTCCTTCTTGGTGTTGCATTTTCAATGTCGAGCAGTTATAAAATGCATAGCTACCCAGCGACGTCTACATGAGCGATTTTAACGTACGCCTGCATCCACTATAGTGGTAACTAGTATGCTTGAAACAAAATGTAACAATATATCACTCATTTTTCCTTGTTTCCCTCCCACAATTTGGTAAAAATTTCGCATTGAATTGCATAGCTTCTAGAGACATTAGATTATTTCAAGGCTGGAAAGATGAAAAATATGAAACCGCCTTCGCCGGGAATCGAACCATTGACCTCTGAGAATACGCGTCTCAGTTTGCTGGACCAATACACCACGAAGGCACGCTAGGGAAGGCTGGTAGAAATATCTTATATACTTCCCTTTTTAAACGGCGACTAGTGTTTTAAGGGAACTAGTCGCCAAATCCTGGGTGCGGAGAATCATCATCCACAAACTCTTTAATAGTTCGGGCAGCCACTTGTAGAGTCATTAGGTATAATTGGAAGCAGGCAAAATGAAAAATTAGCAACGCCTTTGCCGGGAATCAAACCGGGGACCTCTGGAGCAGACAACTACACCACGAAGGCATGCCAAGAAGGAACGAGAAATATCTTATAAGCTTATCTTGTATTCTAATCAGAACCAAGTGAACTCTAATTAGAGACATATGTTCATTAAATATTCACCTACATTTTTATTTCTTAGAATTTATTCTGATATGTAAGGGGGTTCTTATTTTCAAGTAACATGTTAATTAGGATTTTAGCCATTGAATAATATAAGTATAGGGGAGAGAAACACACTAGAGAATATTATATCAGTAAACATCATTATTACTGCAATTGATTTTTAAATCAAAGACGTGGAAAAAATTTAAGCATTAATCAGGTTCAGTAAAAATATATGCAAAGTTGAACTTACTTCCTACTTCTCAAATCCCAAACTTTTATGCCATCAAATATCGAAGATGTCAAGAATAAATCATACATATGCTTAGTTAGTTTCGAGTAAGGCGATCCCTGCAACATTGATCAAAATTGACATATTTTAATACAGATATGTATTACCTTTTGCTTAAAAGTACATACTTATGTCTATTGCTATAAGTATACTTATTTTGCACACTTTGTGATATTTCATTCTAAGCATTAAGTACATATACATATAGTATATTTTTTTAGATACATGTAACACACGTTCTTTAGACACAAATATGAAAGAAAAAGAAAAATGCCGTTAAAAACGTTTCCCCTGCTATTGAAAATAATGTACAACAATGAACAATTTTAGAAAGAAAAGGAATAATGCTAAGTTTTATCTGTCTGTACAAAACCACTACTGAATGGCAAGGGCATCTACGACCGAACAATAGCGTATTCCAAGCTGAACTGGCAGCAATAAAACACAGCATAAGCTATCTCCAGGCACGTACCAACGTAATTCATATTATTACGGACAGCCAATCATCAATATATGCAATGAAATCTCCAACTCTCCTTCAATAGCACATGAAATTCAAAATATCATTTCATCCAGCAATAAAACTTTTATCATCACATGGACAAGGGGTCACAGCAACTGCTATGGCAATGAGAGCGCAGGGCATGAAAGGGCACCCTTGCAAAACAAGTATAGAACAGCGAGACGACCTTTTCCTCGTCCCATGGCCCCAATTAGCAATCAAACTAAAGCTAAAACTTGCCAACTTGCAAATGGAATGGATGAATGGACAACGAGTCGGACACACAGTCTGCTACCCAAGGTTAATGAAGAACAAATCTCCAACTTGCCAACGAGGCTTGGATGGAAGGACATGGACTGGACATCGGACACACAGTCTGCTACCCAAGGTTAATGAAGAACGCATAATCTCCAACTATTTTCTCACCAATTTATCTCCGGTCATGGTCCATTCCCCACATACTTCTGCGAAAAAATCTCTCTCAACAAATGTGTGTGTATGTGGGGAGATGGGCGACTCTGATCACTACATCCTACAATGTCCCTGACTACAACTTACCCATGTGCGCCATCCCACAAACCTGGAATAGAATCCTAAGGTTACTTATCAAGAGAGAAATGTGTATGAGAACCTTCGAAAGTTAATAGACACACTACCACCAATATGACTCGAGCTGTGCTCCCCAAATAAGAAACAAGCACAACCCCTAACGGCAACGGACTCAAGGACTGTATCTCATAATACTGTCCTCCAAAAGGACTAGCTATAATGCGAGCTAAACAATTTATATTGTACCTGTGCCTGCATCCACTGGTTACTATGCCATTGTGTCCTGGTAAAGTGTTCACATACTCCACAAGAGAAGAAGTGTATCGTCACAGGGGTGCCTACAACTCGTCAAACACCACCTTAAAACCTTAAACAGGTAACAGAATATACACCAGGTAGAACGTACCAATTTCACATGTGCACTGAACAGCTGACCAGTGCATCAAATGCAATAATTCATCAAAGTACATGTTAAAGTAGCGCACCCATGGACCGTTAAAATCTGAACATTGAACTTAGACCAAATGGAACACTACCTATTTAATTACCGCAGTACAACATTCAATACATAATTCAAATATAACATATCAGGGTGGTATCATAAAGCATATGCTATGCCTAGGTATCATAAAGCATATGCTATGCCAAAACCAACAAGCTCTATAATGAACATAACCTCTTGCATTGTAAATAATCTGTAATAGTATGATAATGCTATATCGTATGAACATAACTTCTTGCATTGTAAATAATCTGTAATATTATGATAATGCGTGTCCTATGAACATAACTTTGCATTGTAAATAATCTGTAATAGTATGATAATGCTATGTCCTATGTGTTGAAGATGTTGTAACAGTATGTTGCGCTATGTCCTATACGTTTGTTAGTGCTATGTCCTATGTTTACTGTAATCAGGTCCCCTGTGGAAGGGGCGGTGCCAAAACCAACAAGCTCTATAATGAACATAACTTCTTGCACTGTAAATAATCTGTAACCATATGTTAATGCTATGTCCTATGTGTCGAAGTATGTTGCAACAGTATGATGTCCTATGTCTTATTTGTTGTTAGTACTATGACCTATGTATACCGTAATCAGGTCCCCTGTGGAAGGGGCGGTACGCTAGAGAGGTAGTGCATGGGGGCTATACCATTTTTGTCAATGGCGATGGCGTGGTGCCCCTTGTACTTGTTCCTGTCCTGTCCTGTCTGTACAAAGTCTTTTTTCTGTCTAAAAAGAAGGTTATTTGATTTAGTCTTATTTAAACCTTTTACATAAAAAATTCTTAACTACACATAATATTCTTATTTATATTCAAGCAGAATCTTCTATTACTTGGAGGAATATGCAAAAAGCAACATTACTTTTCAGAATTGTGTAGTATATAATGTTAAGAGTATTGTACACATGTAAATAATTTTACTAAAATTATATGTGAAATTGTACTTTTTTTTTTTTTTTTGTGTGTGTGTGTGTGTGTGTGTGTGTGTAATGTAACATGAATTGCTTGAAAGAGACGAAGCTCTGCCGGAAAAATAATGTCTCTTTCTAGAAGCAAGTGATTTTCGAAGCTGTATTTAAAACGTGGACACTGGCAGGCAGAGATATATCCTGATGACAGAGAAAAGCTGGCATTTACTACCGGATAAGGATTTTGGGAGTTCAAGGTAACGTCGTTTGCATTATGTAATTAGCCGGCAATATTCGAACGCCTCACGGACACCGTGCTGAATGACCTTTCCTACGAAGTCTGTCAGACACTCCTAGATGATATCATAATCATCGGGGAGAGTTTTGAAAAACATTTAGAAAATATTAGGAAGGTACTTCAGAAATTGAAGGAAGCCAATCTAAAATTAAGTCCCACCAAATGTAAATTGTTCAGACAGGAAATGACTTACCTTGGACATGTCATCTCTGCCCGAAGATTTGCGTGCGGATCCAGAAAAAGTATCAGCAATTGAAGACTGGAGACGCCCGAAAATGTTTATTAGCTGAGAAGTTTCTTGGGGCTTTGCAGTTACTATAGCAGACTTATGAAGGATTTTTCTTCCATCGCAAGACCCCTTTATAAGCTGAGAAAGAGCAAGCAAAAGTTCTTTCGGACAAAACAATGTAAGGATGCATATCACAAACTGAAGAAGGCTTTAACATCTGCGCCAATCCTGACGTATCCTCAGCCATATAATTTATTCTCTATAGACATATAATTACATCTGCAGACATATAATTTATTCTCTATACGGCATACTACAGCTCTCTATATGGCATACTAGAACAAGTGTGTATCTAAAATGGAGAGGAATTACTTGTGTCACCAGAAAACAGTTGTTTGCTATAATTAAAGCCGTAGAATATTTCCATCATTAACTCCTGTTCCTATTCTGGAATAGGTGTTTGGTGTATTTAATTATGGCAAAGCACACTAGGGCTATCTGCCTAAGAGGAGGGATGCCTTCGTGGAGGATTTTCTAAGGGAAACTGGCTCGTATACACGTTACACATGGGGAAAACCACGAAAACGCCCATGCAGCTAGCCCGTTCGCGGGATTCGAATCTCGGACCAAACTACCAGTGTTCAGCGACTTTACCGCTCGGCCGCTGGTGGGCCCTATTCTGGAATAGGAATAGGAGTTAAAGATTCCTATTCTGCACAGATCATGCATCGTTGACCTGGCTTTTAAATTTCAAGAATCCGGAAGGCCAGATAGCCAGGTGGATACAGAAACTCCAGGAATATGACATCATTATCCGTCATTCGAAGGGATCAAGGGATCATCACATGGAAAAGCCGACACTCTGTCTAGAAACCCTGCCCAGAAACCTGCTGATATTGTTCCAGAGTTGAAGCGAAATGAAAGCTGTTTAATCCAGTCGTACGTCAAGTTACGAATTCAAAATCGCCTGACCCAGACCTATGGAGTGACAAAGAACTCAGGAAACGTCTGTTGGAAGACGGCCAAATTAAACCCATAATGACTTAATGGAATGTTCTATTAGGAAATCTACCTGGCAGGACATTTAGATCTATAATCCTAAGCTAAAACATAGTTCACATAGAGTTCGAGAGCGCTTGTAATGGAGTAATGCAAGGGCTTACGTGCAAAAATGGAGCCAATCATGCAAAGCTTGTGCGGTTCGGTAAGTATCGAAGAAACAAAATGGAAAAAGCAAAGCAAAGCTGCAACGTTACGATCTAGGAAAGCCTTTTGAACGCATCGCCTATGACATCCTGGGACCTCTGCCACGAACTGCTAATGTCAACGAATGCATCCTAGTTGTCAATGATTACCTTGCAAACTAGCTTGAAACGTATCCTATCTCTGAACGTTACCCTTGTTCTTACTGGCCTATCGCAGCGCTGTTCACGAGACTACCGGCTATTCCCCATCGTAGATGCTCTTCGGTCGTGACCTTTGTCTGCCTCGTGATCTCTTGTTTGATCACCCTCCTGACGCGCCTGCATAACCTGACGAGTACGATCAAGATCTCCAGGAACGGTTTGAAATGATGCACAATTTTGAACGACAGCGAGTCAATTTGGCGACGGAGAAGATGAAGAAGCGATACGACACAAAGGGTACAGAACGTCGATTCAACGAAGGTGAGAAGTTGTGGTTATGGAATCCGATTCGACGGAAAGGACTTTTCCTAAACTACATTCACCCTGGGACAGTCCTTAAGCAGTCCTAAACATGTTGAACGACGTCGGAGTTCGGATTTGTAAGTCATCATATTATAGTCTAAAGTCGTTCATTATGACAGGGTAGCGCTTACGATAGCCATAGTACGTAGTCCCCATAGTGCCTACATATAATGTAAAAAGTATATTAAGACCATGGTCCTATTATGAATATAAATTTGCAAACTCACGCGTTTATTAATTGATTTAGTTTTTGATTTGCTGAAATTATTGTTTTAGTATTGCACTGATTTTTTTTAGATATAAATATGACGTCTTGTCTAGGGATTGCACTATTCGGGACGTGGAGTCATTGGGAAGGAGGCAGTGTTACAAATTTTGTACATATGTAAATAATTTTAGTGAAATTATATGTGAAACCGCAGTATTTTTTATAAATAAAGTAACATGAAATGTTTGAAAGAGACCGAACTATGCCGGAAAAATAAGAATACAAGGGCAAGTCTATTTAATATAGAATAAATGGCTATCTCGCTAAATTGGCAAGATATCACCAAGCTGGCGATGGTTTTGGAGACAAATTTTTGTGGCCAAATTTAGCGTGAAATTTCCAAAAGTCGCCAAACATGGCAACATTCTTGTTCGGCTCCTGTATAACTGTAATTGAGTGACTGCAATTGATCTCAATACATAGTGTAACCGTATCCGGCCGTCATATGCATTCGAGTAATTTCGAGAAGTACAAAAGATTTCTCCGCGGCGGGGGTAAAACTATATAAGACCAGAGAGATCATCAGCTCTCAGTTTTTCTCAGTTGTTAAGTTCAGCGTGAGTTCGGATTATTAAGAGATCTCCGAAAGAGCTTCGTCTTTTTAGATGCGTTGTATTTAATGTTCTTACTAGTTTGAATTACTGGTTGTAGTCTGTGATACTGAGAAAAGCAGTAAGAGTATTTTTTTGGGGAAGTTCTAGAACTGTAAAGTGTTTCTTTTGGTAAAAATAAATTTTATAAAGCTATAATCGGTTTTGTGTGCATTCAGTCCATTACGAATCCGTACCTACGAAACAATAATTTTATTGAGAATTTTGCATAGAAAATTTCAGAATTTTGTATCTCTTTCTAAATACTGAACACAGGAACATGGGATACCGTTTCTCTTTACATGGTACACAGAAATCTTGCTTTTTTTTTGTATTGTCCTTTTAAATGCCTCAAGCTCGCATTTCGGTCTTCTCTGATGTTCAGAATTTATTGATAATATTAATTATTAAAGAAAATCAAGGATTATTAATGAAAAATACCAAACGATTAATACCACGTATATGCTACACAGACCCGAGAATTATTTTCAAATGTTTAAATGGCACATGATCCTTTAACATGCTTAAAGATCGCTACTAATATAGAATCCGGTTAATAAAAATTAATCGGGTTTTGTATTAATATTAAACCAAACTTATACTTGTTCTTTGTGATAAACATGAAATCCATGCATGAAATAATGCATTTTTATTTAATTTTAAATCATTTTGAATTTCTGAAATAATTTTTGTAGCTTGTTTGTACTTTCTCAAAATTTATTTGGCATGCTAAATTTAACGAGAATAAATCTAATCTTGAAAATAATAGTAGTAAATAGCCTCTTGTACAGTGAAATTAAGACTTCTGAAATATTTTTTAACGAAAAGAGAATTATTTTACGGATTTAAGTTCTTGTAAAATTTTCATTGACAGCATTAGGTAATAGCTTTCTAAAATTTTTATTACTTACTTCATTTATTGCAATTAAGTGAGCAGGTCGAGTGCCAATATTATCCGAGTGCCATATAACTTTTCCAACTGCCATGTCAATTACGTCGATAGATTTGGAAGTACCAGAACATAGCACAATATTTAAAATACGTTAAGGTAAGCAGTAATTTGTACATTGAATATTTCCATAAATTGTAGTTAATTGCTACAATATTCTAAAATAATTAGCATATAATTTATTGAGACAAAACATTTTTTTCTCTAAAATATTGAAGACTAGTTTTAAAATGTTTTCAACAGGTATTTAAATTACTTATAGAAGCACTTTTGAAACACTCTGTACTTCCGAAATACGGAAAAGTGTCGACATCATCTGTCAGTACTCCCAAGCAGTATCGGTATCGAAAGGTTTTTGTAGATTCTAAAACGTGTAAACAAGACAACAAATTAAAGCAGAAAACAATTATAAATAGAGCATAATTTATCAAAAAGTCATCCTCTTAACAGGGAATATTGATCTAATGTAACGAAGCTTGTAATATTTCCAAGATTTGAATGATTTTTAAAGTATTAGTTTAACAAATGTAAACCGTGTCCACGAATGTCCATATCTGGCCTTTATTTTCGTAAATGGTGGTCGTAGACACATACTTCCACCTATAGAAATGTTTTTAAATGATGCAAATATTCATATTTAGGCATTATTAAATTAAAAATATAGTTTTACAAAAATTACGTAATGTTGTATAATACACTGCTAGTCATTAAAATTGCAACACCAAGAAGGAATGATCTGACGAACGTCAAAATCACATAAAAGGAAGATGGGGTTGGGATATGCAATGATTAGTATTTCAGTGCATTTAGACGACGCAGGAGGGAGAAACGACATCTGAAGCACTGTATAAAAGAAAAGCCGCGTAGTGGATTTCTCATTCGGAAAGCGCTTTGTAAGGTCGGAGTTCGCTCAGAGTATCGTGTTATGAATCGAATAAGACGAAGAAATGCTTATCACCAAGTATCGAAATTTGATAGAGACAGGATCATTGCCTATCGAGAATGTGAATTATTGTTTTCGTGATATCGTCCGTCACACTGGTCGACATCCTACCACTATCATGCGAATATGGAATCAATGGGTTGCTGAGGGTCATACTGAACGGCATGCAGGAGCTTAACGCCCTCCCATGACTAACGCCGAAAGGACAGACATATTGTGAAGTCAGCCCTGCAAAACCGTACAACCACATCACGGGAACAGGATGATAAACAGTTACAGGCATGTTTGCAGCACGCCCAGTATCCGCTCGTACGGTTTTTCGATGTTTGCAACAGTGTGGGTTATCAGCACGGTGACCATTACTTCGTCTTTTCTTGACAGTGCACTATAGAGAGAGACAGTAATTCTGGCTCCTCGAATGACAAAGCTGGATACAGGAGTGGCACAATGTCGTCTTTTCATACGAGTCCCGGTTCTGCGTGCAGTATTCTGATGGCCGTATACGTGTCTGGATACTCCGAGGAGACCGCACGTCATCTTCTTGCATTCGATATCGTCATAGGGGTCCTGCACCTGGTGTAATGGTTTGGCCAGCCACTGGGTACACGACACGCACATTTCTAGTTCGGATCGACGCTAATTTGAATGCAGATCGGTACATTTCTGACATCTTACGTCCAGTGGTTCTGCCATATCTTCGAGGCCTGCCAAACACCATCTTCCAGCGAGATAATGCATGACCACATGTTGCACGTCGTGTTCTGTTCGTCCTCGATACACGGTGTATTCGATTGCTGCAATGGCCAGTACGGTTTCCAGATCTGTCACCCACTGAAAACATCTGGTCATAGGTTGCTAAGACACTGGCTCGCCACCCCTTTCCGGCTAATACGGTTGTTGAAATGTGGCAGAGACTTGAACCAGCAGTTGTCCGTTTCTGTCATCCAAGCCGAGTTCGACTTCGTGCCTAACCGGGTAACGGCCGTTTTAGCCGCCAGAGGTGGAAGTCGCTTCTACTAATTTCGCACACCTGTGAAAGCTCAAACTGCTTACAAATTTAATCATTTTGTCTTCATGCCATACCGTTTACGTACAATAAATATCTTTTTTTGTATTTGCTTTCCTTCATGTTGCAATTTTTAAGGCCAGCAGCGTGTAATACTTATTAATGCATCATACTACTAGTTATCTGTATTAATAAATCGTATATACTAGACTTAATTTTTAAAGCATTAGCGGGTTTCCTCAAAAACATTTCGCAAAATTATTATAGCAAATCTAAGCCGTGAATTCTTTTCCGGAAAACGGTTAGTCTAAATCATTTTATTATTGTTAGTGTAAAAAAAAAAAGTTTTTTGTTTTTGTTAGTTTGCTATTACGCTAACAATACTTTTTTTATTGTTAATGTAAGTAAATCTTATAGTTAGTGTAAAGAAAACATAAAATTTTCTCATTTATACAGTGACTGCTTAACAATTTTCGTCTTTCCCCGCACCTTGCGATAAAATTACTATTCTTATCTAAATATTTATAAACTAACCCATGAATTTAATATCCATTTCTCTTCACTGTTCAACAATACCATTTGGTGTTAAAATGTGTGAAGATACGCAGAATAATTTTTTTCCTTCGAAGAAAACAGTGCTTTTCGTTTGAAAAAGCGCTTTTTTCTATGGATATAAAAAGTAAGAATACAAGCTGAATTTGCCAATTATTAATGTGAGCGTTCGTCTCATAATCCTCGAATATCTTAATACTTTGCAAATATTTTCAAATTTTATTTGCTGATGCAATTATATATTTGCTCCTGAATTTATACATTTAATTAATATTAAAGATAAAAAACAAAATTTAATACTAATATTAGGCATCAAAGATATCACAAAGCTTCCAAAGTATTATCAAAGAAAAAGGATATTTGAAAAAAACTGATTTACAGCAGCAACGCTTATTAGCCGTTTAGACTCCAAAGGAATTGTTTTAATTAATTTCAAAGCACTTTTATTCATGTACCTATAAAATTTCAATAAAAATTTAAAATGAATTAAATACATTTTACAAAAATATAAATATTACAACTATATAAATATGTGAAACAGTTATAAATATATGGAATTTTTTGTAATATATGTGCAATTTTAGTAATTTTTTTCTTCTTTTTTACTTCCTTGTACGAAGTAAAAAGGAAATATTGTAATCGCGAAAAGTTTCAGGCAGCATATTTCAACGAAAATATCCATTTTGACCGCTATCGAATGCAATTTAACGATGTTTTTGCGTGATATCTGTACGTAAGGACAGAATAAAAAAACTCTTTTCCTCCAAAAAAATTATAAAACTGCTTTAAAATTAATTCTGAAGAGAATTTTTCGTGGCGTCTGTACGAACGTATGTACGTACGTACGTATCTCGCATAACTCAAAAACGAGTAGCCTCAGAACGTTGAAATTTTGTATATAAGACTACTATAACATGTAGATGTGCAACCTCGTATTTTGGTTTCAATCGGCCGCGCCAAACGTATATAAATATATTTATAAATATATCCACTCTGTTACCCGGCTCAGTGAATCTCAGTTTCTTTACTCTTATATGTTTGTAAATTGTACATTTTTTGCTTTAAAAATGATTGAATTATGTTGTTTTTATCTTCCGGTTAAGGGTTTTTATGCTTTTAGTAAATCTGTATGCAATATTTTTAGAATTATCAACAATTTAAAAATTGTTTAAGTGCCGCTAAGCCTAATTTTTATGGCGGCTATTGCTCTTTTTACATTTGAAACAGCAGAGTAGTGGATTTGTTGCCAATCTAAAGAAACTTAGCTTCGCAACAACAAAGATAACGCCTTCATTTATTATTTCGAAATCATGCTTAATCCTTTCTGGAATTTTTTCGAGGAAATAAGCGTTTAAGATTTACTTCGTAATTTTTAATACAGATATTTTGAGTTTTTATGTATTTTTGCCTTGTCGCGAAGTGAGAACTGAATTAATTGAATGAGAAATACTCAATCGTCTGTGAAAAACTGTTTCTTTTTTGTTTTGTTTGCTTAATTTCTTTTATACATCATTCTAGCTTTATTATAGTATTTGAATAGAACATGTGGCAACGATTAGATAATTCTTTAAATAACATAAATTTTGTGCATTTTGAGTTATAATATGAATGAAATATAATACTGTTAAATAAAGCTAGCGCCAGAGTGTCGCTATGGTAAACAAAGTGAATTTTAAAGAATGCATTTATTCTATTGTGGTTTATGCCCTGTCGGCGAAGTAGGTTTAATTCAATCTAATAAGTTTAAATAAAATGCAAGAAAAAATGCGTATAATTTAATATTCCGTACAAGGAAGTCATGTGGTGTACACATCAGATTTTTTTAGTTTGTGTTTTTGGTATAATAAAAACTTTGGAACAGAATTCATAACGATGATAAGATCTTCGCAGATCCTTAACGTTTAAAATTCCAAATTGTACTTATTTCTGATAATATAACGATAGTAGCAGAACCATCTAATTCCAAGCAATTTCTCCGTTTCTAAAATTATTAAATGAGCAAAATTATGAAACATTTTGAATAAATAATTGATATTTTCATTAAGCCTTTCAGTCACTCACTTAGGGTGAAAGAAATAGATATAAAATTATGATTTTCTTTCTGTTAAGGAACTGATAACTATGGTGTTATGTAATAACGGATCTGATTTACTGATATCAGACATATTGAAAGCAGACAGTAGTATTTCCAAGTAGTAACGTCGTCTTTAGAATAAACACAGGATGACAAAGTAAACTATCTTTCAAAAATGTAAGAGCAAGTACAGGAAATCGAAACAAGCAGACTTTGTGATGGAACGCACCCTTGCGAAAATCATGCGTTGGTGGTACAGGAAGTTGTTGAGCGTCCAGGTAAAAGCGTTCTTGCTGGAGCAAATCTTCATTCTCCTCACGAATTTTGAGCGGTATGTACTGCTACACGAACGAAGGGCTCGTTGACATAAATTTTACCTGTGAAATGTAAAAGGAGCAGCTAGCTACTCAGAAGGGATACAAAACACTATTCCTGAGTATCTTCTTTAAGCAACTAATCCTTTTCCGTTCGAAGCTCTACAGATAAATTGTATGTCGTCGAGCTCCGCATTTTTGTAGTGATATCTACCGCTTGAAATCTGCATGGGGAATGACGTTTTACGTCAGCAGAACGCTTTTCTCTACCACTTAATTGTTGATGTTTATTTAAATAATAAGTCCAGATAAGCAGAAGGAAATGAATCATTTATTAGGAAAGTAAGCTCAAATAGCCCAAACAGCACCACAATAGCTGGAAATAACTTGAGGCAGATATTTAACTATTCCTCTTTAGCACATGAAATAAATCGTAATGTTCCTCAAATCACTCTCAGGATAAGCCGCAATAAGCCTCAAGATCATTCTTAGGACAAGTTCAGCCAACCGTTAAGTCTCACAGCCGATTCGAAACTGATTCACAACTGAATTCCCTTCCACGACTAAATGGTCTTAGACATCAAGGTGCCTGGGCATAGTGCCCTACTCCAAATCGAACAATATGTAAAAGTCGATTTTGAAAATAAGTGCAAAAAATTTCTTCTAAGTTTGTAGATTAGGATTTTTTTGAGGCAGAAAGATGAAAAATAGCAAACGCCTTCGCCGGGAATCGAACCACGGACCTCTGGAATACCGGTCCAGAGTGCAGAACCACTACACCTTGAAGGACGCTAGGAAAGTGGGAGAAATACCTTATAAGTTCAGATGCAAAAACATAGGTGAACAATGTCCAAATGAAGGGGAAACACCACATAAAGGCTTTGAAAATTAGAGTCACTAGTATAACAAGTCACTTGAATAATAAGCATGAAATCTGTTGAACTGAACAATTTCAAAACCGTTACACTCAGAATTAAAAGATCTATAACTCTATGCAACAAATAAACACTTAAATGTAAGACATGTGGACACAAATTAGATTAAACCCAAAATAAACAAAATTACCATTCTAAAAACAATAAATAAAGCAATACAAAATACAACAACAATACAGAAAAACAAAAATATAAATAACAAGGCTTGAAACACTGCATACCACCTCCTCCTACTCTCTAGATATACAAGAAGAGCCTCTCTTATAAGAATTACTACTTGCTTCAGTTATGCTTAATAAATAATTAGCACAAGAATTTGATATTACTCTGAAAATAATCCGAAATATTAAAATTATTACATTCTCTTTCTTTCTCTTTTAAAGGCGATTTTTAATTTTCCATCTTTTTGATTAGGAACGAAACCCTTGGATTAATATTATTGCTGAAAACAAAATGCGTATTATCACTGAAATGTAAACCATTTTTTTTTTTTTTTATTTTTAATCAAAAACAGACAGGAAAATATTTCTGAGACAAATAAGTTGTACAAAAAGCAAATAGATATCACAAGATAAATTCTCGAACTTTTCGATAAGGTATTATCTTTTCGCACCAGAATTCTTCAGTTGTCGAATTCAAAAGAATCCTTGTAATGACTGTGGTTTTATGACCTTTACTTGAATTTCAAAGGGAAGAACTCCTATTGACAACGAAGGAGTCGGCTTATCATCTTTCGGATTGCTTTAATTTTAACTGCACTCTAAAGTAACGTGTAAATTCATCGAGCGAAGCATAATGTTTATATGCGAAAATGTTTGCGACACTTTCTAAACTTTTATTCCTAAAGTATGCATAAACTTGTTTAAATGTGCGAAAATATCTACCAGATGTCAGAATCGATGTTCCAATTATAGATCACAAATTGCTCCAAAATGTCATTTTCTTTTTTTTACGTAATATGCAAGCATTATACAAGCATTTACGCTTTATACAAGCATTTCAGCATCTTTTGAAAGAGAACGAATCCCTGTGTAAAAATCTGATGTGTACACCACATGACTTCCTTGTACGGAATGTTAAATTATACGCATTTTTTCTTGCATTTCATTTAAACTTATTGGATTGAATTAAATCTACTTCGCCGACAGCACATAAACCACAATAGAATAAATGCATTCTTTAAAATTGACTCTAGTATTTGTTTACCATAGCGACACTCTGGCGCTAGATTCACTTAATAATTATATAACAGTTAACTTATATATTTCGTTCATATTATAACTCATAATGCACAAAATTTATATCATTTAAAGAATACAATTATCTAATCGTTGCCACATGTTTTATTCAAATACTACAATAAAGCTAGAATGATGTATAAAAGAAATTAGGCAAACAAAACAAAAAAGAAACAGTTTTTCACAGACGATTGAGTATTTCTCATTTAATTAATTCAGTTCTCACTTCGCGAGAAGGCAAAAATAAATAAAAACTCAAAATATCTATATTAAAAATTACGAAGTAAATCTTAAACACTTATTTCCTCGAAAAAATTCCAGAAAGAATTAAGCATAATTTAATTGTCAATAATAAATGAATGCGTTATCTTTGTTGTTGCGAAGCTAAGTTTCTCTAGATGGGCAACAAATCCACTAGTCCCCTGTTTCAAATGTAAACATCAATGGCCGCCATGAAAAAAAGGCTTAGCGGCACTTAGACATCTTTAAAATTGTTGATAATTCTAAAAATATTGCATACAGATTTACTAAAGACATAAAAACCCTAACCGGAAGATAAAAACAACATAATACAATCATTTTTAAAGCAAAAAATGTACAATTTACAAACATATAAGAGTAAAGAAACTGAGATCACTGAGCCGGGTAACAGAGTGGATATATATATAAATATATTTATATACGTTTGGTGCGGCCTATTGCAACCAAAATACGAGGTGCACATCTACATGTTATAGCAGTCCTATATACAAAATTTCAACGTTCTGAGGCTACTCGTTTTTGAGTTATGCGAGATACGTACGTACGTACATACGTTCGTACAGACGCCACGAAAAATTCTCTTCAGAATTAATTTTAAAGCAGTTTTATAATTTTTTTGAAGGAAAAGAGTTTTTTTATTCTGTCCTTACGTACAGATATCACGCAAAAACATCGTTAAATTGCATTCGATAGCGGTCAAAATGGATATTTTCGTTGAAATATGCTGCCTGAAACTTTTCGCGATTACAATACTTCCTTTTTACTTCGTACAAGGAAGTAAAAAGTAGCATTTCATGCTGGGTATCCAACCCAGCACATTTTTTTTTTTAGCAATTTGCTTACAGGGTTCAGTGCTAGGCTTTTTTCCGCCCAGTGTGATACGTGTCCCGTACTGCTTTCAAAATTTTTTTCGAACCTAAATTCTGCCTCACCGGATGCACAAATTTTAGCGCCAGCCTTTCTCCGACAAGCACAATATTTTTGACAAAATTCACAGTTTACAAAGTAATATCTGCTAAATTTTCTGGGAATGTTTTTAGAAGCTAATTATTTTCTAAAAACATCTATTTCTATGATGAATAAGCAGTACTACGTCATTATGGTTGAGCTATCTTTCGCTGTCAATAGCAGTGTCGAATCTGCGCGCGATCTCAACACAGGAATTCCTGACTAAATAGAAACGGACAGGCCTTTTTCACTTGATTTCATGTTTCTTGAAATAATTATTTACTATTTATACCATCCTTTCCTTTCGATGTAGTTTCTAGTTCACAAAATAGTAACTGTTCTTTGATAATGCTAATTGTCGTCTAAAAATAGGACAAGGAGGAGCAACTGGCAACACTCAGAAGTGTCGGTAGTTTTGTTGCACAGCAAAATCAAAATAAGGAAATTTCTAAAATTTTTTTGAAGCTGTCCTTCGACATATGTTGTGTTATTTTCTCAATTCTCAATTCTATTGCTAGACAGTGGAATTTCTTCCATTATCGTTTTAGCTTCTCCGTATTAACATTTCTTTCACAACTCAAATAAAACTTTTTTTAATGTTTCAGCGATTTTAAGTTTTTTTTTCCCTTCCCTCCAGAGCTTCAATTGCTCCAGAGCTTGGCTCTGTACCTTTGAGATAAATCCTAACTTTGGCCGAAGTGCACCGAAGCCTTAAATAAGAGGGTTCAGGTACTTTTTTTATGTAATTAAACAATGTTTTCAGCAGAAAATTCTTTCGATCTCGAAAATTTTATTTTAATAATAAGTGAGTCTTAAAAATAGATTCTTTCTCCGAGAAAAACTCTAGGAAAGAAGTTAAGACTTCTCAGCCAGAAAAAAAAAAAAAAAAAAAAAAATTCCTTCCATATGTCGGAGGCTTATTCTTCAGGAAATGTAGCGAATTTATAAGAGAGGCTAAAAGTCCTACGCTACTGATTTCCCGTGTAAAAAAGCATATGCAGATTTTTTTTAGAACGAGTAACCAACTACTAGGGGGGGATGAAATTTATAATTTGTACCGAACTATACGTTTGTTTTCAGCTAACCCTCGGACTCGGAGAGAAACTTTCCCCATTGTCACATTCTGCAGCGAATTAATTATTTATCAATTTTTACTTATCGCTTTACATTTCACTTTAATTTTAATTGTGTAGTTTTCTAATACGTTATTTTATTATTTTAATTATTAATTCCTTTAATTACTTATTATTTTTATAAGCAATCTAATAGCTGCTTGCCTCACTATTAGATCTGAAACTTCGTATCAGGCGTCTAATGCTTTTAAAGATGCAACAAAATTTTGACTTGCTTATGCCAAGCTTCGTTTTCTTAAAACGTTTCTGATTTATATGCGACGAATGATGGAGGCTGATAGGTAAAGTCTAGTGTATGAATGTTAAATGTCGCTTCAGATTAGCAGATTTGAGTGATCCATTACAGTAGCCTATAACACGAACTGAGGTCCCCTTTCTCAACTGATTTCAGCCGCTATAAATTCGAACTTGATATAATTGCTATCATATTTCATATCTTCTCCAATTTTTCTCAGAATGGAAGAGGCTGAATAATCGCATATGTGCCAAGCTTTGATCAGATTAATACACAAACTGTAAAGGTGATGAAGGGGTCACGAATCACCTAATACCGCAATCTACTATCCTTTCCGAAAAACAAACAGGCAAGAAAACATTAAAATAATAATAATAATATTTTTTTAATAATAATTTCTGAAAGGGTTCAGATTTTAACGTTCGCCCAAAAGGACTTTTTCAAAGCTTAATATTGTTTATCAAAATAGATTATTAGTAAAGATGGCTTAGAAGGAATAGCGAAACATTTATAGGATACTAGATGAATACACATTTCGAGCAATGAGAGAATGCTATGTATCTTGTGTATATTGGAAAAATGAAAATATATATAATGTAATTAAAAAAATATTCAATGTTTTTAATAAGCTGTGTCATAATTTATATTTTATATTTAACTGAAAGAGATTAAAATCTTAAAAACTGCATCTATTGCTTTTAAATAGTTTAGTTTATTCATCAATAGCAGACAGATTAAATTTGAAAGATAAATATCTTAAGTTTTGCCAAATGGCATAGAATGAAAAGTGAAACAGCACAAAATCGCATTTCGAGACCAATCCCTTTCGGAGTGCGGAAGGAAAAAAAAAAAAAAAAAAAAAAAAAAAAAAGAAAGCTTTGTTGGTAAATAAAATATTTAATCTGACTGACATTTTCATGGTCTCCTACGCCACGAATGGCCCGCAGACCATGGCTGATCTCCCGTTAAAATAATGAGACTTAGTTTGTAAAACAAAAACGTAACAGAAGTCACGGATATTACTTGTTTTATGTTCAAAGCATACCCCTTTGAATCCATACACCGAGCAGCCCTGTTTTAGCAAAGTTTAGAATGATTTCTGCATATCTATTTCACAGATAACTGACAAGAATATAGCTATTACTCAGACGAAATGGTCCCTAGATGATACTTTTCCCAGATGTTCCAAAATGCTTAAATAAAAATAGCATTGCAGTCTGTACCAAGGGAAAAAATTGGATAAATTGATTGAAGCAAGCCAAAACTGTCGTCCCTTTTCACTTACAAAATTTTTACCCATAAATGATGATAATCTCCATTCAGAACACTGGAATTTAAAATACCATGTTTTAGTTTTCTACAATCGATTTAAAAACAAAATCGATGATTTCTCTGACAAGTTTCAAAGGATTTTTGCATAATAAACACAATCCTGTTTTTGATCGTCAGGCAGAGCATATAGCACAAATTGGGAAGCAATGTTTTTCCTTGCCCAAGTTTTCCACTCAAATTTGAAATACTGCTTTTAGACGCATCTGTCATCACAGTCAAACAACGGTCTTCCTGCAACCAGTTTGTGATTTTTGCACAGAGTCTCTCATTATAAACAAAACTAGGAGATCCAAGTATAGTTGCATCTTCAATCGTTTCTGTACCATTTTGGAACTATATACATTACGTGAATATTTGAGCGCAGAATAAATAATTATGCCCATATACTTATGTCATAAATTCCACAGTTTTAGTAAATCTGTTTAGTTTTTAATCAGTAAAATTTTTCTGATTAAAAAAATTAATGTTCTCTTTTTGCTTCATTTTTAATATGTAACAAATTTCTCTCACTAACTAAATGAAATGATGTCATATTTCCCACCATACTTAAAAGGGTTGCATTGGAATGTTGCAAAATTATAAATTTAGATAATATGTGTTACTTCCTGAATGGCACTGTTAACTTCTTCGTAATACAGTCAATGCCATTATTTATGTGTCACATCAGGTTTTGATTAAAATTTATTTATAAATTCATATTTATACTAAAATACAGATTAAATTTAAAGTAGTTATATAGTCAAAGAATTTTAATTGATTGATCCCCCATTTTCTGTCTGAAAGTTTTATCTTTGATTTGTTTTAAAAATAAGATTTATTATTTTCAATGAAAACAATATGGTTTGTACTTTTCACTCTACTGCCTCATTTAGCCGAAAATATATACCACTTAAAAAAAAAAAAAAAAAAAAAAAAAAAAAAAAAAAAAAAAACTCACCCTCTTTCATAAAATGTAAATAAATACACAGTAACATTCAGCTTAAAGAAAAAATCCTCTCTGAAAAGACTCGAGCTATCTTTCACAAGCATAATTTGAATAAAAATTCTCATATATACCTCTTTATATCATTCTTCTCTGTGCTGATCATGTAATTAAACAAATGCAATTTATTTCCAGCAGCTGCTAATATGAATTTATCAAGGTAATAAAACTGAACTTGTTCAACAGCATCTCTGAAGCTAAATTTCCGCTACAATGAAAAAAAGAGAGGGGATAAAAAGCAAGTTAGTAATTTAGTATTAAGTATGAAACTTAAGCTACAGTAATATGTATTAAATATGTATCTAGAAGTTTTCATGCAGTTTTACTCAATGTGCAATTTAAACATTTATAACAAGAATAATTTATCTCATTTTTTTCAATACTAGGCATTGGGTAAACAAATTAATTCAAGAGCTTTTTGCCTAACGTTTTTAAACATACAGATACGTTGCTATGAAATTCCTTTCATTTTAATATTTTTAGCCAATATCAAGAGAAATTCTAAGCTTAAAATTACGCAAGTTTTTAATTTTGCTGTAATTTCTAATTATTATTATTATGATTAATTGCCTGTGTTTTTAATATTACTTTTATTTTTAAACTGGCTATGTTGTTCGAGAAAACCCCAAGTTTCTTAGGATTTTTATTACACTAGATAATGATGATTCATTGGAGAAATATAATTTTTTTTTAATATAAAGTTCTAATACGAATGTTTCATATCGAAACTTTCCCATTAATAACATCGCCTAAAAAAGATTTTGTCGCCCAACTGCGAGTCCGCCTTCGAAAATAAAAGTTCCTTTATATTCGCTTTATAACTTATACAAACTACACATTTAACTATAAAACGTTTAATGAGTTTCTTTGCTCCAATAAATCTAATAATTTTTAAAAAATTATTATCTAACACTGAAGGGCGTCCATGCAAGTATGTAATATGGTACTTTTTAATCAAATGTTCACTCAGTCTACTAGACGGTAAAATAATTAATGGACGCTTAACATTGTAATATAACAAAGAATGCTGAATGCGACTTTTCACTCGTAAGAGATCGTCTTCAAAGAAAGGCCTTAGTGCCACCAATGTACAATTTCAAAGGCTTCTTGAAATTAAATAAATGTATATTATCTTTAAAATACACTTGTTGTATTCATGATATTAAATGCCTTAATGTTTCTTTGTGTTGTTCTAAAGCCGTTACAGGCAGAATTTCATGCAAAGGTTTACAACTTGGCAAACAATTTTGCCTCTTGAAACTTTTAATAAATCTTTTGCAATAGCATAGAATTAAAACAATTTTGGGTAAGGACGATGTGTTATTTAAAAGAGTACCTAAACTTTCATTTTCCAAACAAGTATGAAATGAAAATATAGTATTAACCTTTTTATCTGTGAGCCACCCCTTATCCTGAGTGACGTTGGGTAGTTCAGAAATCGGCAAGCCGAAGGGTTTTCAACCAATTAGGGCTCTGTCGATTTATTACATGCGCTTTTGGAAAAATCCCTCTAGAAAGAAGATCTGCTGGATTAAATTCCAATGGAACATGATTCCAATGAAACCTCAGCAAAATCTCTAAGATTTTTGACGTTCGGTTAGCGACGAAAGTTTTCCATCTATGATGACAACCATACTAGTGCAACCTTAGAATCGATCCAGTAAAGATTTCAAATTTGCAGTTATTCAGAAATTCCGAACAGAACTACCAACTTTGATAGTAACTGCACTCAGCTCTAATCTAGGAATACATAAAGAGCTTAATAGAAGCAAACCAAGTCTTTATGGCTACAATATTTACTTTACATTCGCCTTCAAATTCTTGCCGTGAATAAATCACTATCGCGTACGTTCTGAAGAATCATAAAGTATCTATATGTTCTACTACATAAGTTCTAAAGCATCACAAAATGTGTGGAATTGCATTTTCTCTGGGAATTTTAATAGATTCAACAACTGGAAAATCCCTCTGAAACTGAATCCATTTTCCAGAAGTATCATTAGGAATTAGACCATGCCAGTCGGTATAAGAAATCCAAAGCTGTTGATATATAAACTTCACCATTATCATAGGCGGTGATAGCAGACCAAGAGTATGTTCACTGATTAAGATAACATTTTTCACTTGGTAACATTTTTATGGAGCATGAGCAAGTCTTAAATAATACAAAAGCATCCGACACTGAGTTTCAGCATAGCCCTAGGACCTTTTTTGTTAACTCCACAAGAGTGTCAGCTGAGCTGCTTTCACTTTCAGCTATACAGTTGACAAACCCTAAATCATTTATTAAGTTCTAGATCAGGTGACCAATTCCGCGGTTCAACAAATATTGACTTAAAGATGTCAACTGATCGCTATTTCACTACTTTAAAACCTTTAGCTTCTAATGTCTCAGAAATAAAAATAACCGTAAATATCAAAAGCGTCTTCAATACATTTCTAACCAAACAAAAGGTCGAATCATGTTAAAATCATTCCTTATTATCTCGGAGATACACGCCGAGTCATTTTCCAAATCCACGGCAATTTGTTTCAAACATCTCGTTGCCAGAACCGAAGAAGAAGCCATACCGTAAGTTATCCTGTTTAATCCATACTCCCATAGTTTGTCTTCTTCTTTTCTGTTTGTTTGCCAAAATGTACCGATAAGAAATTATCGGTACATTTTGGCGAAATCAGCCGTAAATGCTACAGCATGCGTTCTAAAATTATTAAATACAGACAATACAAACACTACATCACGCTGCATAGTTGGATATACACATAATATAGAATTTAGGAACTTTCTGATAAACGAAGCATCGAACACCACAAGCAATTTTTGTCGTAATCCGGCTTAAATACAGAATGATGTGGAAGAAACATGTATTTTTTAGAAAAATCGATCTGTGATTTAACTACTTATATGATCCAGCTCTTCATATTCGGTTATAAATTCCTTATAACTCTTTTTCAAGCTAAAATTTTGCTTAAATTTGCATTCCATGACAAATAAAGTAGAAATTGCCACCTCTTTTGTGTCCCCTGGTTTTTTTTTAGTGGAATCCTGAAATGGAAGCTTGACGATGAATCTACCGCCAGAATTGACCTGGTAATTTGCTTAAAAACGCCTTTTACAATATTCTTCTTCATATGTTAATCCAGTAACCTTTCAAATCAATTCTTCAGTTTCTAAAAACTGTTTCGTGGTTTCATCAAAATTTAGCTCAGCATGGAAGCTATGTAATGTAACTGCCCCATATTCTGAACTGAATTTTCAATAAGAAATTAGGACAGAGAAGAGAATCTATCCAAAATACGTGTTTTAAAATATATTAATGAATTTTGAAATATGCCTGGGAACAGAAGTGAAAACAAATAATCACTGCCAATAATAATGCCAATTTATTTTCTCTTATCACACTAATGCAATCAGCTAATGCAATCTGTGATGCGTACAGCAGCATTACGTTCGTTCAGTATCAATTTAAGGAAGAGGGCAGGTTAACGCATTTAACACATCAGCTTCAATTACAAATTCCTTCTCAGAATTCAATTTTGGAATCATGGACTGTTTGACCCTGTTTTTAGTAATACCACCATTTCTGGATGATAAATCCATAACAAATATTCGCGCATTAATTCTTCGCAGGGCCAACCTTTATCTATAAGTCTTCGGAATAAAACTACATTCGCTACCGCTGTATAAAAGAACAGAATTATGCTCTTTGCTGAGCCAGTTGAGTATGGGAATGATTGCTGTAGGAAGCAATACCACTTTCCGATTCCTTCTAGTAGAACAGCATGCTACTGCATTAGAATTTAAATCATTAGAACTTAACATAGCAACTGGAATCTCTTTCATCGTAGCCAAAACTAAGTATTTTTAACGAAGCAATGTTTTATATTTTTGAGAAAAAATAATACACTTAAATACTAATACACTTAAGGAACTAAAGCACAACTTATACTTTTTCCGTAAATTTTCTTCTTAATATTTTCTTATAATTTTCTTCTAATTCTTTAAATTTCATACACACGTTTAAAGAACAGATGTCCTTACAGCATATTTGGATAATGTACTATGGCCGGTGGCAAACTCCTACCTTCAGGGGCTGCCTAATGCAATTTTTCAGCAGGATAACGTCCGACCACACAGTGCTCGCATCTGCCAACATGCTCTGCAAGGTATACAGATGCTTGAATGGCCACCGTACTCTCCTGACCTGTCACCAATCGAACACATGTGTGATGTGATTGGACGCCGTTTGCAGACTCTGCCCCTGCCTCGTTCAGAAGATGAACAGTAGCAAATGTTTGAAAGGGAATGGAGAGACATCCCTCAGGACACCATCCGCACTCTTATTGACTCTATGCCTAGACGTGTTTGCTCGTGCATTGCTGTCCGCGGTGGTCCTACATCCTACTGAGACACCGCCGTTCTCGTTCTGTATTCTGACTATCATTTCGAAATAAAGATGACTTATTGCTGCTTGCTGTCTCTGTCTTTTTCCAAATTTCATCACTGTCTGACCCCTTCTTGGTGTTGCATTTTCAATGTCGAGCAGTGTATATTCTTTATTTTTCTTACATATCCCCCCTTTAAAAAGGCGTAGCGAAAGAGAAGCCTTTTTAAAGAAAAAGCGCTAAAACCCTAGCAAATGAAAAAAAAAAAAAAAAAAAAAAAAATCATAAAATTTTGATCTTATAAAGTATAATTTATAAATATCAATTTTTTGAAATAAAATTTTAATTTTTAGAGTCCTATTGAATTTTTCAGCATTTCAGTCCAAAAGTCTTTTTGTTTGAGAGTTCGCATAATCATAGTTCTTCAGGGAAGGTTCTTTTTATCATAGAATATCACAAAATAAAACTTTTACATAATCATTACTTATAATTAAATGTAACGCACATAAATATTTATGATACTAATTTCAATACTGATAAACTAAATTTTAACACCATAAATATAATAGGAGTAACAGTTTCAGAAATTATGGTTTCACCGTTATCATCTTTTATTTACAATTCCTGATTTTAACAAACTGGAAGGCCTCGCAATACTTCTAAACAAACATATCCATCAATAGGACTGTCCTCTTGAGCTAACCAGTGTGTTTGTTCTCTGCACTGGTGGCCCAGGGTGCCTAGGCAGTTACTTGAAAAGGCCTCTGTTCCTTGCATAAGGTAACTGGCCTTTGAGAACTGCACTAATACATTCCACAATAAAAAAAAAAAAAGGATAATAATATTAAGAAAAATTACACTCTTAAAATGAGAGCCTCCAACATTATCTTACACGAAGAGGGTAAAAGGAACAATTGTACAGAGGTAATTACAGGCCTCTGTTTTAGGAACCAGTACTCCCTCAACATACTCTATACTTAACACACAATCACCCACAAATTTTAACATGCTTTTACCATAATTTCATGTTACTTTTCTGTATTAATTTCACTTATTTTTTACATCTACTTCATTTTCAGAATAATTACAAAATTCGTATTCAAAATTTTCAACAAAATTTCAAAAATAAAAACTTACCTTAATAGCCTTCCCCAAAAATAATTAAAAATCTAAGAATTCTTTACTTACTTTACTAAATTATTAGAATTTAAATTTCTAATATAATTAAATTACATTTCTTCATATCACAGGGTTACATTTTTAATGTTCAATTTATTAAGAAAAAATATTAGTTCTTAATGTAGATTCAATTACGCAAAAGCAGAAGCGAAAATAATTTTCTGGTACCTACGTTTTAAGTGTAAATTTAACCCCCTATAAACAAACGCTGGATTCATTTTGAAAGACAGGCTCTAGATTTCATTTTTAAGCACTCTTAGCAATTCTATGATCCGAATTTTTTTTTCACATTTTCATATCACTGTTCAATTACGAAGTTGCACTTATTAAATTACCGTATATTCTAGATTAAATTTCGAAGAATGGATTTTGACTTAAAACTTTTAACACAACTTGCCGATTCCAGGTTGCGCACACAGATTGACGGAGCCAAAGATATCTTGAAGATTATAACATGAAAGCATTAATTAACTAATTCGCTTTCACAGTCGAAGCCAAAATTTGGATGATAACACTTCTGTGAAGAACAGGCACACTTTGATGATTTAAAACACTTTTTTTTTAACTTCTAAACATTTAAGAGATGGCCATACACTTCGTTTTTCACTGACGTTAGCATTTTTGGACTTGCAGGTACTCGATATCCATTATGAGTTTCCGTTACACATGGAAATTTGAAGAGATGGTCGGTTGATTATTACAGACATTCCCACTGGAATTCCAACGCACAGGACATGTATCCTGTCGACTCAGTTGTAATATATTCAGGAGCAGAAGCAATGACCAGGAAATTGGAGGCGAATGCAGATTAAATCTTCAGTTTTATTTTCAGCTACACAATTGAAGTCGAAGCACATTAAATGTGACCTGTTCCAAAAGGCCTTACATTTTTGATAACTTTGTAGCAAGAAATTAGCAGCGGACAGTCTACAGTCCAGCTAAGGTAAAGCATAGAAAGCAAGTGCGTAATGTTCAGGATGGAATCTCAAGTCAGACTGAGTTAAGTTTTGGTTCCCAAAGCTTTTTGATTGGATAGTTAATATTTCTGTAAAATTATTATTGTTTGGTTAAGTTTTAATTCCATTTACATCACCATAATTACGTAAGACTCATATGACATAGAATAGTCTCGAAATGACGCAGTGCAGAGAATGCTATTTTTAAAATAGTTATATATTCTTTATTTTTCTTACACACACACACACACACACACACACATATATATATATATATACAGAGAGAAACAGAAAACTTTCTTTCAGAAATATACACAGGCGCAGACGGAGGTAAAGGGGGCAAGAAAGAAAATATTGGAAATCATTCTACAGCTTTTTAAAATTCTCATCTGGCTAAGGCATACTTCTCCCATTTAAAAATCACATGCTCTATTTTTATGAAAACTTATATGCTTATTTTAAGATTTAAGAAAAATATTTAATTTATTTTTGAGAAAAATTAGAAATCATTTGATTTTAACAATTATTAATTTTTCTTTTTTTAGTTTCTTTTAACGAAAGCTTATTATTCATATCCTAAGCAATTCTGAACAAATACGTTGTTCTTTCAACTGCCTGGACATTTATAACTTAATGCATTCGTCGGAAATCGTCAATAACCATTTAGTCATTCAGACATCTTTTCACGCAGAACAGTACCCAGGGTGCGAGCAATTTTATATCAGCAGAAGCGGGGAAGTTCTATCTAAAATTCTTATGGAAAACATTGCGGGAGATAAATCCGAGAGTCTCTTACCTTCTTCCCTTGCCACCAAACCTCTCAAGAGGACTTTCGAATCGCGGGTATTTTAAATGGCCTCACGCCGCACAGACACTATACACCTACGTACAAACTTCCAGGCCATCTACGGTCGGTGAATACAGCAGCTAGCAGCGATAAACAATATACAAATCGGGGAAGCTTCTGAACATATGTAATAATCTCAAGTTTAGAAACCTTGTTTATTATTGTGAAGATGTAAAGACAGAAATGTTTTCCTGTTATGATGCATGATATACATGAATATGTGTATGTTTAGAGGTACATATTTCTAACTTTCGATAAAACATCATTTGTAATCGTTTCATCAGTAGTTCAATTGTGAAAAATAGTTCATTTATGTAATTCATAGTAATTTTAACTTTACAAACACATGAACTTTCAAACCTTTGTTTCAAGTGCTTCATTTCTGCCTATAATAAGTAATGGATTCTGCTTCAGGTGTTCAAAATCCCATATCTTCACTGTTTTATCTTCTCCACAAGTTACTATCATTTTCCCCGTGTAGCTCCATTTGGATGCATTAACAACGTCATTGTGACCTATTAGATTTATAAAAATAATATTTTAATGATAAATAAAAATGCATAATTTTCTTTATAATAAGGAATGCATAGAGAATACGCAACTTAAATAAAAGGTTTCAAAATACATGATAACAGAGTCATTTAATTTCCTAAATTTCTCAAGCATTAAAGATACTTCTAATTATCTTATCGAAAGAGATTTATTTATACGAATTGTACTGTGCTGTGTACTTATTTCAGCAAATAATTACAGCTAAATGTTTGATGTACTTTAGTAGCTTTATTCCCGATTTCTTATTTATATTAATTGTACTGTACTGTGTATTTATTTCAGCAAATACGTACAGCTAAATGTTTGATGTATTTTAGAAGCTTTCTTCCCATTTTTTAATTTATATGAATTATACTATACTGTGTACTTATTTCAGCAAATACTTACAGCTAAATGTTTGATGTAGTTTTAGTAGCTTTCTTCCCGATTGTTTATTTATATGAATTGTACTGTACTGTGTACTTATTTCAGCAAATACTTACAGTTAAATGTCTGATGTATTTTAGTAGCTTGCTTCCCGATTTTTAACACGTGTACTAGGCCTTCAGCAGATGTGCAGCAAGCAAAATTTCCATCAGCTAGGAAGAATCAATATAAAATACTCTTTTAAATATTAAACTGATTTAATTAATTACTTAATTAATAAAATTTTTTATGATGAACAATTTTATAATATAATTAATAAAACATCTTTTATTACATTTAGAAAAAGGAGAGGAAGGAATTAGAAACAGATGCAAATCATTTTTTTTAAACTTAAATGACTGATGGGCATTATTCAGACATTTTTATTAAAACGTAAATCACATTGACGCAGAGCAAATGGAACACTTAAATTATTAACAATTGTAAACTAATAGATCAATAACTTATAAGTAAAATTTAAATTAGAATTTCGTTTAGGAATATGAAGATTAAATGGAATTAGACTAATGAAAGTGGCGATATTAGAAAGTAAAAGCAATCAGAATATGTATAACCAAAAACAAAAAACCGAAGCATGTCAGCCAGCACAGAATCTTATTCTTCCTTATTATTAGAAAACTTACTGTAAGGATTTTAAGGTGTATTGCACTTCAGATAAGATTTTCAATTTGTTCCTACCAGCTGTAAACTCGGCTCCGCTTTGATAGTTTTTTGTCTGGAAAGTGTTTTGTTGTCTGAATTTAATAATTATAGCTAGTTTGGGTTCCAAGAATTTTAATAAACAAGTTGGCGGGCAGCTACTAGCAACTAGGGCACTTCAGTATAAGAATGCATTTAGCCCCTCGAAAAAGAAATGTAAAGATGAAATAGACACAACCAACATTACCTCAAGGAATACTGGTTCAGCTGAGAGGGCATTTTGGAAGAGAACATGCCATGTAACTTCGAACATTTCAAAATTCATTGCTTCTTTAGATTTCTAAAGAAACTAACCAGCGTGTAATCCAAACCTTAATTTTTGGAGCGGCGAATTACAAAACTTACATTTATCTGAAAATTCCATCAGTCTTTGCAGAAGAAGACGAGTTTGGAGTTTCTGAAGATCTGAAGATTATCAGAAATTTCAGAGTTTTTGCTATCATTCTTGTAGCTCTGGAAGGAGAATTCTTCTTCCGCCACAGTTGATGCGATCTTCATTGCCCATTACAATGTCTTTGGCGTCTTGGTCGAGTCTTCTTTTCTAACTTGATTTCTCCTTGGAGTTCAAAAGTCGAGGTCAGAGGAATTTCGGACACCCATGAAAGTTTCTTGTATATTCTAAGACTGTTTCTAAGGATTTTATGTTAATTAACCAATTATTATGTTTTAAACCTTTACTACAACTTCCGGTTTCCGTAGTCCTCACCAGAATGCTAATTAATTGTTTGAATTGAGAGTTCTGAATGTTTTAGAATTAGAGGTTTTAGCAGCCTCCCTTGAACTTTATGGCCGATCGCAAACTCTGCCACTGATTATTCTGGTTTTAGTCCTTTTCGCTAGCCAACGTTAAAACACGCCATTAAAATATTTTAGCCAATTTAAGTAGACCATTTTGTGTAATCTCCGACTACGCTGAATTTGAATTTCAACTTATGTTCTCTTAATTACTCGCAGCGTATTTTATTTGTAAGCACAAGTGGTGGTTTCTATTTAATTTAAAGAATTAACAAAAAGCTTTTTTTAACCTTATTTCAGACGGGAGCGATAACTCGCTTGTCAGTCTAGTAAGGTCTGAAACCATATTAATCTAAGCTTCTGCTCAATTAAAACCTTACAAGTTTACATTTAAGTCGTTAAGTTACAGCTTATAGTTAAGAAGGAAGACAGGGCATGCGTATAAAAATAGCTATCTTTTTCATAAGCCTCTATGCTATGGAAACAGATTTAATACGGAAAAAAAAAGAAACATATACAGTATTTTGCTCTTATTATTAAAAATTCAAGGTCATTTCTAGTATATGATATGCAGGAACATGTGGACACTAGGCCAGCATCTCTGTAGTACCATTGGTAAATAAGAACTGCTGTTCCTAGCTGACTATTAAGCTTCCGCCCAAATTTAGGATTCTGAGAGAGAACACTCCGAAGAACGGTCTGGAGGTATCCCATCCCTCTTTCTTTACCACCATCTCGAGAGGATTTCGGCTTTGCATTTCAGTATTTTTAGTGCCCTCTCGACGCATACAAATAATCCATGCCGCTATACGCTTACAAACAATACATTCCTTCCTCGGAACTGGAAGCCTAGCCCATCGGTACGGCAGAGTCACTAACACAATCCTTTCTGGGCGGCAATATGATGTGTATAGATATTCGGACATCCCATACTGAACACTTCCGATCTTTTTTGGTTTCACTCCATTATCTGCAATTCATTTTTTCAGCACCCCTTCCCTTACAATAATGATATATAAGTTCTCCTTTAAATATGATCTGTTTCGCACTGACTAAAAATCATAAACAATTTTAGATATTTATTGGACTCACACTGCCTTAAATTATTTATTGAAATGCACCTTACAATACGGAACAGAATGGTAAAAAGTAACGATTTCTCAAAGCAGAAGTACTAATGAACCTGACTAAACACGCAAAGATTCCTGCCATCGTACGGGCAGTGCCATATATTAAAAGAGCATAAAACTTGTGCGTCATGGATATCACTACAAGCACTTGTAACTTTTGTGCTTTTGGAATAATAAAAATTATGATAATAAAGGGATCACGTACACGTTTGGACCATCATGTGTGAAGAGTTAACTCACATGATTTGGTATGATTCTTGTAAAGATGAGGGACTGTAATATTTTCATAATATAGGAATGTTTAACCCTTTTGTTCAATGTCTTTTTCTATCCCTCAGGACCAATAATGCCCTCTTAAATAATCATCCCAACCAGTAGCGTCTACGCTGGGGAAGCATGCTTTAGAACAACGTTCTTAACCTTTTAGATAAGTGGAATCTTTCGTCAGGAGAACAGCTGCTATTAATATGTAAGATAAAGATTTGTCTTGCGGAGAACCAGCTGTTGTAAAATTAAGTTGTTGTAAGATTAGGTTGTAAGCTCTATTGCTTATAAAAAAATTGGCTCTTGATTGGTTAAAATTTAAGATCTTAGCAAGGTCGTTAGACCTTCCTTGCGGTTACTTAAATTCTTGCTGGTAAAAGTGTGAGGTCTATTAAATTTGTTTAAACAGTTATTTTATGTTTGGAATCTTTACTGTCACTTCTCTCTTTCCGGGCAGAATGCAAATTAGTTAGCGCGTATTTAAGTTAGGGTTTGAGATTGTTTTAGACAGAACGTGTTGCGCTTCTTGAAACCCACGTTATTAGGTTGCTATTCTTTCAGTCTTCGGTCGTTCATTATACTTGCCGATAACTAAAGTCACGCCGGAAGTCCGAGCCAACTTCGCGATAAATTACTCTGAGTAGTCGTTGGCTATTAATTATATAAATTTAGCTTTATATATGAATTTCTACCTTGAGTTCTCGCCACGATTGCTGCCGGACTTATAAGAACTTGTATTCCTTCTGTTCATCTATTTTAGTTTAATATAAAGGGTCTTATACACCCTTCCCAAGTCTTTGTTGTATTTCTAGATATGGTGTCGCTTTACGTCTATCAAAGGTTTCGTCACAGTTTAAGCTAATGAAAGACTTTACACCTTGCAATATACTGCATTGAAACAGCATTGGCACAACAAAGGCACAAAAGTACCTTTGCTGTGCCTACCGAACTGCAAATATTAACCATCTGAAGTTTTCGACAAGCAATTTCTGTAGCAATGGATGAGTTCAGGAGTATGTTCAGCCGGTTATAATTTAAATAATAGTTTTTCAATATTTTTTCAGTTATTTTTTTTAAAGTAAACATTCTTTCCAGATAATTTCCTCTGACTTTGGCTATTACTATTATTCGATGAAGTTTATCGTATTTCTGGGTACCCAGAAGTTCTGTTAGTCAGGCTAAAGTATCCATGCTCGGGTTGAGAACATATAGTTGGTTCACGTTTGATTTGTACATCTGTTATCAAGACAGCAGATCTGTTTGGTACATTGAGGGCCAAAGTATCCAAGCTCAGGTTATACAGACCTGAGCTAGGATAGCAGATAGATCCGTTGTCTTGATAACAGGTGTACAAATCAAACGTGAACCAAATATATGTCCTCTTTTGAACTCTGATACATTTCCATTTACATGGTATGTTCATGGTTCTCAATGTGTGAAATTAATACTTTTAATATCACTGAAAATTCAGTCTTCGAAATACAACTATAGCTAAAATTCAAAATCATTTAAGGTTTTCAGTTGGAAGTGCACACACTGGTATGAAATGTTTAGTGCTGTAGAGTGCTATCATGTGTTTCAGTTTTACTGCACAGCCACTGTATGCAAGTCCATTAAAATAAACATGTGTCAATATTCTTATTTCCAAACCTTGCTGTCCCTGAAGGTTTCCTGTACAAAAAGGATGGAGTTTCAGTGAAAATATGACAACTAAAGATCGTTTCCAAATACATTCAAGATATATACAGTTAACAAAATCTCCAGCTATTAAACGTCATAAAAATGTTCATTTTAAACCTACCGACTTGATATATGCATTAAGCACAAAGTTTCAAATAGTGGCTGTACTGCTTCTTGATACTATAATTACTATAGATAAAAAGTGCAAACATTTCACTTCTCTGAAATAAAAATGTCATATATTAACGTTGAATCAGAGCAATATCTAAAAATTGCAAACTAAACAATCATTAAATTATTATTAGCCTAGCAACATACACCTCCTTCTTTAAGTTGCTTTTGTGACAGAAATACAATTGTTCATTTTGATACTATTCAGAAACCTAGGTCGTCTGAGACATTCAGATAAAGTCACTAAAAGTTTCAGAATATAAAACTGGACGTCAACTAGATGATTATGCAGTTCAGTAATATACATCGTTTTAGATACTTAAATTATCACCAAAATTGTTTTTAAAGTAAGAAAAATTGTTAATCGTCAGATTTATTTGAGTATAGAAACTAATATTTACAAATCTAAATACAAAATGAATATTAAAATATTATTTTAGCTTACATATTCATAAAACATTTATCTGTAAATAAATACATTGCATGAAATTATTATATTTGGCATCAGAATTTTTACTTATATGTATTTACTTCCTTACTTGTAACTTGTAGTGATGACACAGCAGGACTTTCAGCGGTTTCAACTTTACAAAGTAAATCTAATTCTTTGCATTCGAAATTAGCAGAATTTCGCTGAAGAAAACTTCTGCAATATATAAAATCATGGTACTTATATGTGAAAGAAAAATACACCCAAAGAGCCAAAATATTGAAAATTATTTATTATCTTGCTATCTGTACCAATAGGTAGCAGGTAGCAATTACATGGGAATACATTTTTACGAGATGCTAAACTGCTGTAAAGGTATTATGACTGGTTACTTGAACATGGCAAAGCCCACAAGGGCTGCCTAACAGGTGGAATGCCTTCGCGGAGGAAGTTCTAAGCGAAATTAACTCGTATTCTAATTACACATGGATAAAGCCATGAAAAGTTATTATGTCCGTTTGCCTGGCTTCGAGCCCGGGATGAAATACTAGTATTCAGCAGTCTTTAACCGCTCGGCCACCTTAAAGGTACTGTAAACTGTATCTGTTGAACAGCATTTTCATTGGTCGTGATTAAGAATGTGAATGACTGTTCACGTGCGCGGCTGAATCCTACATATGCTTAGCTGGATTGCTATTTAGTGGAGGAGAAACCCATATCAAGCTTTCAGAATTAAAAAAAGAGGGGTCCTCTAACTAGTTTAGAGTTGCCTTGAATGTTCATCCCCTGTTTCAAAAAGCCATTTCCTCGTAGGTAAAATGTTGATACGAAAACACAAATATGCTGAATAAGAAAAAGCATGCATAATACATGTTAAAAATGTTTCTAGGCCTACCGAACCCCGATTTATATTGTATAACTATATCTGTATGTGCTAAATTTTGCGAAAAAAAATCATCTCATGTACGTGTAGATTGCAGCACTTCAATTTGGCTATCAGAAAGCATTAGTGAATTTTGCATTAAAATTTCGTGTTGCAATGCAAATGAAATTAAAACATTTTTCGAACTTTTGGCGCATTATCGCATTTTGAGCAAGTGGCATTTGGACAAGAAAACTTGGGTTTTCACCAATCAGCGATGAAAATCTAGTCTTTAAATTGTAACACACAGAATTCTTCAGAGCATTAAATACTTCAGAATAGTATGGCAAGAGTCAACAAATGGAACATCACAGGTATGTTAATTATTTTCTTCGAAAACTTTTAAACTAAACTTGTGACCATTTCAGCTGAAAGAATTGTCTCTCAGTCCGCTCCAATATGTTTCAGAGTTTTACAATTTTCTTCAAGCCTGTGCTCTTCCACAGATCAAACACTTTTAACACTTTTCAGTAAATAAAGTATATGAGGAATATTCATCTGCGAGTTTTAAAATGCTGTTTAATTTTGATCGTAGGAATGATTTCAGTACTTTTATTCCAATTCCTCCCCCACTGGATTAATAGCAATGTTTTTCTTTTTAAACTGGAGCACCAGGTATAGTAATTTGGACCTCGTCATGAACAATTTTATTAACAACAAAGACAAATAATATGAAGTCTCATCATTGAAGGAAAGACAGTTTGAATTAGAAAAGCTATTATAAAATCAAATTCACATTACTTTAAGCATCTTAATTCGATCTTAAATTTTCATGAACAGAGATTACCACTATGTCTTAAAATTAAAGAAATTCTATCGAGGAAAACAGAAATAAGCTCATCAACTTAACTAAAAACCAACTAAGCATAGGACAAAAGGAGGAAACATTTTACTTATGAGATCATCTAAGTTACAGTTCATATACAGAATACCAAGGCTTATCATAGCATCTCAGAGGATTGCGCTGCATTGAATAAATAGTTTCCAAAAATTAAGGAAAAGTCACAAAAATAGCGATAACTCGCCCCAAAATAAGGCATTCGTATAAAATTTGAATATGATGTCAAATATGAAATGTTAAGTAAACCTGCAGTATGCAAATCGGTGGCGCTGCAATCGGAATGCGTCATTTGCGAGGAGCATGAAATGGCATGTTTGAGAGAAAGCCTGTAAATTTCGCTGTGATACTGAGATAAGAAGTCTGGAACAGCAAACTCGTAACAATGACCTCCAGGCATCATTTGTCCGAACAGCTGCAATGGAGAGCTACCGGGAAACTAGTGGCAGGACTGACCGACATTTGTTGTTATGTCACGTCATAGAAAGGAAAGTTTGAGAAGGCTACGTAAACATGTCCCCTGGATAGCTGATCAATGAAGGGCTCTTTTCTTTACGGATGCGTCAAGTTAAACCTCCAAAGCCGCAGTAGGCATTATTTGATTTGGAGAGAATCTGGAACCCATTATCATCCCTCAAACATCCGTGAAAGAGATGTATACGGAAGATGAAGTATCTGTGTTTGGGGTGGTATCCCTTTGGGTGGACGCACAGACCTCCATGTCTTTCCGCATGGAACCGTGAATGCTCAGGCCTATAGAGATGACATCTTGATGCTTATGGACGCCCTTATGCTGGGCAATAAGGGATGATTTCTTGCTACAGGAGACATCGCTAGACCGCAAAGGGCTCGCATCGTGGATGATTATCTTCAGCAGCAAACGATTCAACGCATGGAGTGACCAGCACGATCACCGTTCCTGAATCCTATCGAGCATGTTTGGGATACTTTACGAAGATATATAGGTGCTCTCATTCTTCCTCTTCAGAACCTTGCAACTTGTTTGCAACAGCAATGGCTCCTCTTACTTCCTATGGAACTGATAGACCGTATAATTGACAGAATCACACATCGCTGTATGTGTTGTATTGCTTCTAGGGAAGATAAAACTTCATATTTTTCCAAGGTAATTTTCCTACACCAAACTGACGCATCCGATTTGTTCATTTCATACATATGCTAATTTCTATAACACCCTAATTGTCTGGTAATTTCTTTTCTTGTAATTTTATACCTTACTATGTGCAGTATATTAAATTCTACGTATCGTTTGAGTAATCGTCATCTTTGTGATTTTTCTTTAATTAATGATAAACAGTGTAGAAGTATTAAGCAATAAATACAGCTATACAGAATTAACGGTGGGTACCTTGAGCAGGCATTATAATTGTAATAATGAAATACTTAAGGGGTTCTGAAGCAAGGGAAATTCTCTCCTATGGTGGGAGAATGCAATCAGCCTTTTTATTTAGTTAAAAATTTTGTTTTATGTTTATAAACATAAAAAAAACTACATTTATTTAAGCTTTGGCATTTATCATCATTTTCTATATTTTTTTTGTTTTTAACTTAGCATGTTAAAAACAATCTAATTCTAAATAACTGTATGTATGTTTTTTCATGTTTGGGAAAGGAAGGGTGATCTTCTGGCTATGGTGAAAAGGGTACATGGCATAAACAGGTCAAGAACCCCCCGATTTAATTGATCCATAAATTTATTATGAAAAAACTTTCATTTATGAGGCTGAAAAATGATTGAACTGCATGCGCTGTGTAGCTTTGTCAAACTAAAGAACTAAATAAAAAGAGCTATTTGAAACCATCTTTCTGACCTCAGTGTTATTTCAATGGCAGTGTTAGTCGTTTCTTCATTGAGGAAAATACGAAGATTCATTACTTTCCCACTGCTTTGTGCTTATTATGCTAAAAAAATTTCATAAACGTATTTAATTTAATACTTCGCAGCCTCACCTTCAAATAATAATAATAAACAATTCCTTGTCAATCTTCAATTTTGACATCAGCGGTGTTTTTCCCAAAAAGCTTATCTTCGGTTTCTTTAACAGATTAGCAAATTCTCTTTTCATTTCATTTCACTCAGAAAATTGTTCAAAGGAACACTTTGCATAGAGTTCCCTAACAATATTTTTGTTTTCTTCAGTAGAATTTTGCTACATAACATTCAGCTAATTATTTCTGAATAACATATCCATAGCCATTACAGATACCACTTATATCGGATATACGCATGCTGAACTATTGGACGTGCTGAGTCACTGGATGTTGGATTACCAGACTTTTATATAAAAATTAATACAATTAATTAAATCACAAATTATTATTATTATTTTAAATCTAATTTAGAGACAGAAGGAGGAAAAAAAGTTCCTAATTTTATACTGATAGTTTCTGCCTATCTTTTTTACTAAATCAAAACAGGGATATGGTGAACTTGATCATTTACTCATGAATTTCTAGCAAATTATAAATATATACTTTTCAGTTTGACAATGTAAAATTTTAAAAGATAAATTTAATATATTTAAAGAACAATTCACATTTAGAAATATATTGCAAGGAAATATTAAAAAAGTATTAACAAAACATGTAACCTTTTTTTTACTACACTGTAGTTTTGGATATTTTTGACATTGTGAAAATTCTGGCATTCATATGTTTGCTGTCTGTTAATTTGAGGCTGGAACAAAACAGATCTGAAACAAGAAATATGCATGAATAAAATTTGGTGTAAATAATTAGCTGAAATAATTGCTGAAAAAATTAAAATAAGGAAGTAATTTTTAATCATGCTAAATATAATTCTTTTATATTTATTCTTAGGCAATATATCTAACATTAACGATATTCTGAAAGCTAAATTTATATATCAAGTGTTCAAAAATGTGGCTACAAGTTTTATTTCTATAAGTATTAATCATAGAAACATTTAACCAATTCCATAGTTTTTAAAATTAAGGTACAGACTTTTATGAAAATATTTTCAGGTATGTGAATGGAATGGCTCTGCAAATATTAAATCCATCTTTTCATATGTTGTCCATACTGAATAAACTCCAATTCGAAAGATATTCAGAAAATAAATGCATTACCAAATAAAAAAAGTATATACTTTTGAATGCCAAATAAAAAAAGTACATACTTTTGAATGCCAAATAAAAAAAGTATATACTGTTGCGTGCGTATGGGCTCGTTAATAGATTGAAGACACACTGGTCCGATGATAGGTTAATAAAATTTATTTTATCAAAAGAAACACTTCAAAGTTCTGGAATTTTCCACAGAAATACTCGTACAAGTGTTCACAGTAATCGCAGAGTACAGTCAATAGTTACTTTAAACTACTAAGAATGTTAAACACAACGCAATGCAAAACGCATCTAAAGAGAAAACTAATCCAGAGCTATCTCACTCAGTATACTCCGATCTCATGCTGAACTAATAACTCGCAAAAACAACAACTAGCAGATGCTCTCTCCGGCCCTACATAGTTTTCACCTGCCGTCGAGACATTTCTAGTGCTTTAGAAGGCATATGAGGGCCAAATACAGTTACACATGAAATCAATTTCATTTGTTCAGTTACAATACTTATTACGGTAACACAGGGACCCGACCAAAATATCGCCAAGTTTGGTGACTTTTGACGATTTCTCGCCAAATTACCAAGATACCAATTTACTCAATGTCAAATGGACTTGCTCCTGTATTTTTACTTTTCCGACAAACTCTTTAAAATTTTTTTGGCATTAAATTACAAAGAAAAATACAATTTCACATATAATTACACTAAAATAATCTATATATGTACAAATTCGTAACAATACTTTTAAACAAAATTCAAAGAGATTTAGTAATGAATTTACTAACATAGATTTTTTTTCTGTACTATTACCGAACAAAATTTATAAACTTTTTGACCAAATTTAGGAAGCAACTGTAAAACAAAAATTGCTCATTTTGGCAATTAATACTTCTATATAAATACAGCACTCGTTATTAAATTTGTAGTGGATTCTATGAAAATATTACCTATGGACATCTCTGAAAATTTTGCAAGCAAAAACAAGAATCGCTTTGTATTTTACTTATTAAAGCATTATGCATAACTAATTAGAATTTTTACTCCGCAGGGACACCCCTTCCCATACACATACACCAAAAAAATTGTTAAGTTTTATATTTTTAAAATTCTCCCATCCATAGCATAGAATAATTTTTCATAAAATTATCTGCTTTGCTTTAAGAAACTTAAAAATACAAGTTTATGGATCCGTATGAAACACAGCCTGTAGTCATCCTTTTTGAACAACCTGCATATAAGTTTAATAACAACTTGTACTGCAAGTTGTATTCCCCATAATTTTTTTAAAAAATTCGTTTGTACATTCTGTTTTCTTTGTTATTTAGAATAACCACAATGTAACAAATTTTGTATTGATAATTAAAACTTTTGTGCACATACTTATGGATTTTTCCATATCCAGATGATCTTATCTTTTTATGGAATGTGACAGGTAGGGCAGAATTAGTTGCCGACAATTTACTGGAACCTAAAGCAAAAGCATTCCATATAACTTATTTGAAATATATTACTTATTTCAGGCTTAAAAATTTTCAAACTCAGTAAATATCTAAGAATTACTCAATTAAAAAAATACACGGCAATGTGTTTAATTCATCGGATATTCAATTATTAATGTTCAAAGTACAAAGAGGAAGTAAAAGTATTGCTCAAAGTACAAGAAAAAGAAATTATATATTGCTCAAAATACAAGGTTATCAAACAAAAGCTAATAAGAAAGTATTACGAAGATTATTGAAAAAATATTTAAAGACTACTTAAATACATAAAACATTACTCTAAAACAGGGTTTCTTAAACTGTGAGTCGCGACCCCTTTGAGAAGCCTGCAGCAGGGGTCGCCAAAAATTTTAGCAGTTTTGATATTTCTTTAGCTTATTATAATAATTTTACAATTACCAAATATTTTTACACAATGTGTCTGAAAATAGATGAAGATAAGACAATAGAGACAAAGAAAAAAACGAAAGCGTTTCGACGCACTCTTTTTATAATATAAACGTTCATTTTCCTTGCTTTGCACGTGACGCTGTCATTTCGTCTGTTACTTATTTAAAATTTTCACATTGTTCTATGTCTTAAAATTAGAAATTAAAGATAATGACCTAAAACTGCAATAGTATGTTACAGTACAAATGAAAAAATTGACAGTTTCACTCACGCGTGTGTCGGATTTGCGCAATACTTACAGTTATGGGGTCCTGGGGGGTCGCGAAAAATTCTCAGTGATAAAAAGGGCTGAAAAACGTTTAAGAAACCCTGCTCTAAAAGATCTTATCTTACATTTCATTTCCTGAGAACTGTTCATATTATGCATCAAAAGTGATTTTCGATTTTCTGCTTCTCCTCTAAAGGAAGAAAAATAAAGTACAAATCACTTTGCTTTGAACAAATTTAGCACCTGATTATAATTACATTTTAAGAATCATAATTTTAAATGTATAGGAGCTATATAATGCTACCATAATAAATTATTCTTTTAAGTAAAGAAAATAATGTTAAATCATGTGAACTGAATTTTGAAGTTTAAGAAAAATGATAAGTATTACTACCGCACTGCATATATATAATATTTGAAAAATTACAAGTATTATTTTAAGTCTGAATGTTTTTCCACATAAAAAAGTCAATACATTTTGAAAATATTTGACAAATATCTCTCTTTAACAAGAGTAACTGTTGTGTTTCCAGTTATGATAATTCCTGTCAAACAATCTCTCAAAATGTACTGAAATTAATTTGAGTATTGGAAATTAATACTAGTCTACACTCAGCAATTTTGCCTGTTTTAAAATAATCTATCATTATTTTTACGCATGATGTGTGAAAGTTACAATTCAAATTTTCCCAGTCAGAAATATGGTTGAATAGATAAACGTATGATATAGAGTGCTAAACGTTTGAGTCAGTTCAACTGAAAACAGCATTTAATGAAACTTATTAACAGCATTTAAGTGAAAAGGCGAGAAGGTAGTGTATGCATTCTTGTTAACAATTTGAAAGAAATTTTCCTTCCTCCCTGAATACGGTATAAATTATTTTGATAATTTTTGGCAACTTAAATATGTTTTGTTAAAATGTTACAATTTCCCTTTGATAATTTAGTTAAAAAATAAATATAGAAATACATAGAACGCTGATCTTGGCTGTAAGAATGGGATTAACTAAGTTTACACATCCTTAAATAGTCTTCAGACAAAATTATTTTCACTGATTACATATATAAACTTAAATATTTTTACATCATTTATTATATGTTTTAAGTCAATAGTGGCCAGTGGGCCACATGCTGCTCATCATATCATCTTCTAAGGCCTCTAACAAGATTAAGAGATTTTATCATATAATGTTAGTGCACTTAACCTAACACTCTGAGATGTGGCAATGCATTTACTGCAGTATTACATTAATTCTTGTTCAGCTACAGCATATATGGTGGGAAAATAGTTATCATTCTGAAGTATGTTAATTACGTGAGATGCACATATAGAATGTATGCTTTTTTAAAAGCAAAGTTTATCTTTTACATCCTGCCAACCTATGTACACACACACACACACACACATATATATATATATACAGTGGTGGCCAAAATTGTGGACACTTTTGAAAATTTTTATGTTTTTGAACTTTGTATGCTTATAGAAAATGTTACATTTCGCAACATGCAAACTTGTATATATAATTTTAAAGAGAATTTATTACTGAATTCAATACAGAACACAAAATTCAATTATTTGCAATACAAAAAAAAGTTTTATGTACTTTAATATAAATAAAAAACACAGTTATAAAGTGTGGTTTGTAATGTCTAGCTTTCCTGGCCAATCACTGTTCTTGTTCTGAGAACCAATCAAATGTTAGTAACTGCCAGTAGAAGCTGACATCATGTTTACACTTGAAACAATTCATTAATTTGCTTTGTTCTGTAGAAGGAGGACCTGTTTCTTATACAATGCAATTACAAGTAGGAAATTTTGTAAAAATTTTTAATATTTAGTCAAGAAGCAATGACATCAAATAAAAGAGTAGATTGGACACTTAGAAAGAGATGTAATATTATTGTGTTACGAGAAAGTGGTCTTTCCTATGCTGAAATTGAAGGTAGGTGGTTCAGTGACTACATCTGGAGTCCGAAAGTTTTGTTTACAATATCAGGAGACAAATTCAATAAAAAAACAAAGAAGGAAAAGGCCGAAAATGGTGCACCATATCTATTGATGACAGAAGAATAAAAAGACTATGTCTCCAAGATAGAAAAATGTCATCAGCGGCCATCAGAAGTGATCTGAATGATGCTAGTGTTTCTGTCAGTTCAAGAACAATCAGGAGAAGATTAACAGATGTTGGACTGAGAGGTAGAATTCCATGAAAAAAGCCTTATCTTAATTTTCAACAACGAAAAAAAAAAAAAAAAAAAAAAGACTACAGTGGGCAAAGGAATACATTAATTGGACAGATGATCAGTGGTCACAAGTTATATGGAGTGATGAAATTAAGATATCGTTATTTGGTAGTGATGGGCGAAAATATGTAAGACGTAGAATAGGAGAAGAGCTACATCCTGACTGCATTCGAGCAACTGTGAAGAACCCAGTTAGTGTTATGATTTGATCATGCATGTCAGCAGATGGAATATGTCGCGTTCATGTCATCGATGGGACACTGAATGCCAGAAAATACATTGACACTATTCTAGAACCAAAACTTGTACCTTCCATCAGAGATCTCTTTTCCAACAATGCTTCGTTTATTTTTCAGTAGGATTCTGCTCCTTGCTACACGGCCAAAATATCGAAAGAGTGGTTTCGTACAAAGGGCATTAAATTGTTGTCATGGCCAGGAAACAGTCCTGACCTCAATCCTATCGAAAATTCGTGGCACCGTTTGAAAACTCTTGTCCGAATGAAGCGCCCATCAAATAAAAGGGAACTAATTGAGGCTATAATTGTTTCCTGGCATCATGTAATAACGAAAGAAGAGCTTAAAACTCTTGCCAGCTCAATGAAACGTAGATGTGAAGCTGTAATCAAAAATAAAGGGTACCCTACTAATTACTGATAACTCACTGCAATCATCACTATCTAATGTATATCGATAACTATTATCGTTTAACTTTTTTTGTATTGCAAATAATTGAATTTTGTGTTTTGTATTGAATTCAGTAAAATATTCTCTTTAAAATGATATATACAAGTTTGCATTTTGTGAAACGTAACGTTTTCTATAAGCATACAAAGTTCAAAAACATAAAAATTTCCAAAAGTGTCCACAATTTTGGCCACCACTGTATATATAAACTTAAAGCATCTAAAGTACAAGGAAATTGGTGTCAAAGCAAGGCAATTCCTCAACAATATTAATAACTGCATCCTTGTATAGGCGGTTTAACACAATATCTAAACAATTCAAAATTGAAGAAGGAAAAAAAAAAAAAAAAAAGAATCAATAGTCCAAATTCGAAAATAAAAAATACAAAAATGAAAAATTATACAAAACAACTGAACTATAAAAATTAATCTCCTTTTACTGAAATTCATCAGGGAAACTCATCAAAAACTCATTAGAACTCATCAGGGGAAAACGAATTAAAGCTTCATAAAAGTGGATTAATATACTTTGAAAACATGTTTCGTTCTGGTTCATTTAAGATATAAAAAATCATTACATAAAAATTCATTCAAAACCGAAAAAACTGAATCTCAAATGTACGAGGATTTTCCCTACACGCCTGCGAAACACTTGGAAAAATGAATAAAGCATAACATTATTTCAAATTGACTGCATAAAAAAATACCTTACATTATGTAAAATGACCACTAAAAAAAACAAATTGGTCTAAAAAACATTATACGCAAATCCGAAATTCAAAATCAAATATACAAATACTATATATATATATAATGTATATAAACTACTTTTTTATATAATAAACTCCTTTTTTAAAATTTCTCATCTATAGTGATATGATAATTATTACTTAAACCTTAATCGGAGGTAATAGTTGGATGACTACGATAAGAAATTTAATGTTAAATATGTATAAAGATCTTGTTTCTTTTCCCTTTCAATTATTATGCACAATTTCTTTCTACTATTTTATAAATTTATAACTGGCAAATATTCCTGCTTTACACCGATTATGTGAAGACTTTTATCTTTTAATAACATATATTTTTCTTTTTCCTCAACTTTGAGCCAGTACTACTTTCACGTTTTAAGATTTTACAGAAAACAGCATCTTTTAGAAGTTTTTAACGCCGCTATTTTGGAGGCGACGATCACCCTTCCCCGTAGTAATAATTTTTACGACTGCGCCCAACGTTTGACACCCCCGCACACAATGTTTAACAGGATAGGATTTTTTTAATACATGTTTCAATACTTAGTTCTGCTATTGGACACCTTGAACGAACTACCATTTTCTGCTTCTCCAGAGCAACTATGAATTTTACAAGAAACACAGTTTGATCATCTCAAGAATTAAGTAAATTTCTGTTTGAAGGTCATCATATGATTTCAGTTAAGTTAGCGTTTTTACAATTTTGTTTCTAATAGGTTTTTTTGGGGGGGGGGCCGAAATAGGCTCAGATTTGATTTTGTTATTTTGGAATTAAAAGTTTAGTTCCGCATAATCGGGGACCGCCCATTTTTGGAGTATTGTTTAAATGGTTATTTGGTTTGTATTGTTTAAATGGCTATTTGATTTGTATTTTGGTAAGTATATTTGTATTGCGCTCTATATTTATATTTGATTTTGAATTTCATATTTGTATATGATGTTTTCAGACCAATTTGTTGTCCCCCCCCCGAATAGTCATTTTACATAATGTAAAGTTTTTTTTTTTTTTTTTTTTTTTTTTTGTGCAGTCAGTTTGAAACAATGTTATGTTTTATTCTTTTTTCAAAGTGTTTCGAAGGCGTGTAGGGAAAATCCTTGTACATTTGATATACAGCTTTTTCGGTTTTGAACGAATTTTTATGTAATGAAAATTTGTTTCTTTCTTTCGGTTTTTGATCTCAAATGAACCAGGAGAACGAAATGTTTTCGAAGCATATTAATCAACTTTTATGAAGCTTTAATTCATTTTCTCCTGATGAGTTCTGAATTGGAGTTTCATTAAAAGGAGATTAATTTTTATATTTCTATTGTCTTGCATAATTTTACTCTTTTGCATTTTTAGTTTTCGAATTTGTACTATGATTCTTTTTTTAAATTTTGAATTTTTTAGATATTGTGTTAAACTTCTTATACAAGCCTTCAATTATTAATATTGTTGAGGAACTGCCTTGCTTTGATTTACTTTTACTTTAGATGCTTTAAGTTTATTTTACTTCAATCCTGCAGCTATAGCGCTGGACGGGTATAAAAAATTTGTTTTTAATTTTTGCCTCTTATTAAGTTTCTTTATATATACATCTATATACATAAGTAAGGCATTTAAGTTATATGTCCTTACTTACTTATATATAGATATAAATATATTATAACAAAATACGATATAATTGGCGATCTCAAAATTAACATTCTAGATTTGGTGCTCTCCCCGTAAATTTACGGTTACTGCCAAACTGCCAAGCTGAGGATGATAGTACGGTAAAACCATCGAAACTAGTCCTGTGAAAATTTGCAAATATAACACTGATTTTTGTTGTTTGACTTCTAAATTAATACTTGTTCGGCGTGCTATTTTATCTTAATTCGGGATGGTTCTCGAAGGAGGGCGACGAGATGAAATTGCCCTCTCAAGAACATACCAGATATGCTGTATAGAGTTAAGGTCAGGAAATCTAGCTGGCCAATCCATGCGGCGAATATCTTCACTTCCCAGCAATCGTCGACCAGCTGAGTCCTATGCGGACGAGCGCTGTCGTCCATTAACAGTAAACTAGAACCAACTGCCGAACACAAGGCTCTAAGATCTCCTCTATGTACCCCATAGCAATCAAGAAGCCTTTGTAAAACATATGCAGGGGTGTGCGACCGTTTAACTTAAGTCCTGCCCAAACCAATACACCTCCACCACCCTGAGAAGCAAGGGCAACTGTTTTTATGTTTTTATGTCCTAATGGAGCTGCACTACAGTGCAAACTCAACTGAATCACTCCATATCAGGCAAGAGTCGTGAGCTCGCAGAGCTCGACCCACCACGCACGGCGCGGAGCGACTGGTTGTCTCTCCTACTCGGAGGGCCGAAGCCACCTGCCTTATGGGACAAATATAGACTGCCGCTTCAGGAATCGGTTACGTGTATCGTATTACGTTCCAGGCTCTCATCAGATGCAATAGGTCGAGAATCAGTGTTCAGGATGAATCTCGACTTATCTGTAAAAAGCACGGTACTGCACTAAACTCTGGTTCAATGCGTGTATTACGTGCTTATCCTAAACACTCCCTTTCGTATGCTGCAGTATACGGAACGCACACTGCCAGCACACGAGAGGGAGCGCTGAGGATGTGCACGAAATATACAGTGGGTCTTCTAGCATGCAGCTCTTTTTATGAAGCCTTCAACTGCAGACCGTGAAACTCGGATTCCAGTGGCAGCATACAACTCACTTGAGAGCTGTGAAGCTATAGCAGATTTGTGTCTCCGGCTGGAAGTGCCAAATAACAATCGTCATTCATCGTTGTGGATCTTGGTCGACCTTGTCTAGGTCTCCTCGATATAGATCTAGTGTTCTGAAACTGTTTCCATAAATTGAAGACGACAACGGGCGTTACAATGAGCTCTCTAGTCACCCGCGCTTGTGATTGGCCTGCCTCTAATCTGTCGACAATTCTCCATCTCATTCCGTCATCCATAGCTACTCATTTACCTGATGCTTTTTAAAATTTACCCAACTCTTGCGAGAAACAAGGTGAATGTCGAAAAGGAGAACGAGCACATAAATCCCCAAAAGTTCCTCGTGCTCTTATATCCCGTTCACAATTACAGTTCCGCAGACACACAAACGTAGGCTTAACGCAAGCGTACGAATGCTGGACTCTGAATACTCGCGTTATTCTTCGGCGGCATAATTAGTACTTTTGGTTCAATACTTTTATAAAAATAAACATAGTTTGCAAATTCTCTTAATATTGAAACTCAGAACTTTCTTTCTGATTTTGAAATGATTTATCGTTACTCATAGTTTTGTCTATTAGAACGAATAATGTAGCATTTTAAAGATGATTGAACTGAACAACCAGAATTACATAAGCACAATACAGAAATAGATAAATTGCTATTGATAATAATACTAATGAAACTTTCATACTTTTGTTATTTTTAAATATTAGAATAACCAGATCAGTATTAGGGTAAAAAAGCTCCAGAATAAATATTACTTTCAGTCTCCTGATTACAAAATAAAAACATGCAAGTTCCCAAAGAATATTTCATTTTTATTAATTTAATTTGAATTATTATCGATACGCATAATTTAGAAAGAACTAAGAACATTTACTTGTAAAATTATTCTCATATCTATTTTCAATTGTTGTTATCATAAACTCATAACAAAACAGTTTTTTTAATTGTTAAGGATTTTAAGATTTTAAAAATAACATTAATATTTGATAAGTTCAGGAAGTTATTTTTTTAATTACATTTTCCTTTTGATAGCAATATTTAGATATACCACTGTAAGTGCATAGAATATAATTCTTACCTATAAAATAAAGTCAGGTTAGGAGAATCATGAACAGCAAGTTGACTAGTCGAGTTTTCACTTGAAATATATAGTTTTTCTTTTGATGCTTCATCCTCCATATAATTTTTTAGAGAAATTTTTAACAAAACCATTGAATCATTTATTATTGGCAAAAGGTTGACAAATACCTAAAAAAGTAAGGCAGCATGAATTGAGTCCGTGACACTTAGACGACAGCTGTTTGCCAACAGGAAATTTAGCCGAGATGTCCATTTAGCCGATAGGACATTTAACGGCCACAACATTTAGCCGATAGCTTATTTAGCTGAAAAGCGTACATTCAGACAAAAACAAACAACAATGCTATAGTAAAATTCGTCCATATTTATCCGACAACGATTTAATCTTTCAGTCAATTACAAAATTGCTCGAATTCTCTGAAGTTCAACTTTCAAATCATTTTTTCATTAAAATTCATTATTCGATCCTGATCCCATCTCTGATTTTAATTCTTGGGAAATTTAATCAAATCATGTTAATGTGGTTTGATATATATGTATACGGATATATACTGAAAACGTATTGAAACTTCTCCTCGGGAGCATGAACTATATGTTCGAAAAGGAGAAGCAATCAAATTTTTGATAGCTAATCACAAATGGAAGTTTAAATCATAATTCTGAATTGGCATGTGCAAAAATTATCCAAAACACTTCTTCATGAGTAAATTGAATTTTATTGAACTCTTTTCCATTAACAAAATTTTTCTCCTTTTATAAGGTATTTCTTCCGCCTTCTTAGCGTGTCTTCGTGGTGTGGTTGTCTGCACGCTGGGCGCGTATTCCAGAGGTCCGTGATTCCATTCCCAGCGAAGGCGTTGCTCATTTTTCATCATTCCTGCTTCCAAAAAATACCTAATGTCTCTTCAGCGGCGCCCGAACTAAAAGGGTGATGAATGATGATTCTCCACACCCAGGATTTGGCGATTGGGTCCCCTAAAAACCCTATCACCAAATCCTGGGTGTTTCCCTTTAAAAGGGGAAATATATAAGGTATTTCTCCCGCCTTCATTGCATGCCTTCGTAGTGTGGTGGTCTGTACGCTGGGCGCGTATTCCAGAGGTCCGCGGTTCGATTCCGGGCGAAGGCATTGCTCATTTTTTATCTTGCCTGCTTCCAAAAATACCTAATGCCTCTACACTTTAATTGATGACATTAATTTTTCCAAACTTGCTCTTCTCAACGCTAGAATATTAATATCTTAGCTTGAAAATCCTAATATCTTATCTTTTTCATGTTTCATTAATACCTTCCTTCACTACGTTAGATTAGCTTTCGCTTTGCTCCATCTATTGCTTTCCATATAAAATCGCTTCGTTCCTCCCATTGCTGAAATTTTCTTTCCTATTACTGAAATGGAGGGACCTATGTCTGATCGCTCTCAAAATTAATTTCAAAATGCACGCCAACCTAAAGATGATTTTTTTTGTCTAATTTTAAAATATAAACTCTGCAAGACATAAATGTAATAATTTTCCATAAACCTTCTCCTTGTGTACGCCGGAAAAGCCTTTTACTGGATAAATACGGACAAAATTTTCTAGAACATTGTCGAATTCTTTTGTATAAATGTGTTGTAAGTTCAACTGTTGCAAAGTAAGTATATTGTAAGTTAAGCTTTTGTCTAAATGAAAATGTTGTCAGTTAACTGTCTGCTAAATGTCCTATCGGCTAACAGCTGTCGACTAAGCGTCTCAACGGCTAAATATCCGGAACCGATTATAATTAGGTAGATACAGTGCTATGACTGAAATAAAACTTTAGCATAATATACAAAGCGGTAAAATGCTTTTGCACCAATTAAAGAGGGAAAAAAAACCTAGGACTAAAATAATGCCTGTTATGATTAATGATAAGTTATTTCCAAGAGTATATGCGAAATCATAGCATAAATCACTACCCATAAATGGATAAGATTTTAAATAAATGTATATAGATGGAGGCATACACCTAAAAGCAACAATTTAAAACCCAGCATATGACATGAAATAGTTCATATTAGAAGATACAATTCTCAAAATACCTAAGGAAAGTCACAACACCAATCTTATATATATACATAATATAGACTTTTCCCCATTTTTTTCCCTTTTGTTTTTCTATCCATAAAAGAGAGAAAAGGAAACTTGATGAATTATAAAATTCTAACTAAATAAATATTAATTAGTACAGAATTACCTTGCATTTTATGAAACTTTAAAAGTTTGAAAAATTGGTTGGTTGGCATATCAAATGGTGTGAAATTTTCAACTCAATCAAGGCAATGATTATATTTCAGAGTACACACAAACTTTTAAAAGTGCGTTTTCTCTTTTTATAAAATTCAGGTTCTCCTCACACTTTTCCTATGGAACTTTTATTCATCAAGAGTAAGTAAAGTATAATTTCTATAACACAAATAAATATCCAATACATTTTAAACAATGATACAAGACTTTATATTTAAATTCTGTGTTTTTTAATCATGTTTTCTTTGTTTTAAAAACAAGATGAGAGAAAATATTGTGTAATACTTTTTTTTTACATGCAATTTTCTCGGAAAAATACCTTTGAACAATAGGCTAGATTAAGATGACTTTTAATCTACAGCATTTTTAATCTTTACGTTGTTGCTGTATGTTTACAATTATTTTTGCATATTTGAAAAAGAAAAAACACAAAAATGTCATAAAATGAACATTCTGTTCTTTAATTAAATTATCTATATCCATAGAGAAAAATAACGAAGATATTCAATTAATGCAGAGTAAAATAATCTTATCAATGATTTGGAAATTAAATCAAAAAATACAAAACACTTCTTTACTTACAATATTTTTATCTTTATCGTAAGAAAGAGCAGCAGATCGTATTAAACCAATAGTACTTTCTTCTCCTTTATTTACAAAACTATCTAAAATTGTATGTTGAATGTCAATTAAATTACAGAAATTCTATATGATAAAACACAAGAGAAAATAAAGAACAATTCATTTACCATTAAAATTGATATAAAACGTGATAGTTTCATTGTTGATATTGAGGATAAACAAGCAGGTACTTGTGACAACTAGCAAATATACTATGTCAGGTAGAGACCTATAAATGGATAAATTTATTATTTTTTCTAGATTTTTAACAATAATTCATAGTCTTCCATGCAGTGAACAATTTAATTTATAGATTATTAAACATAAAAATCTATAAAAGTAATATTCTTTTTATTATTGATAATTATTTTATACATAAAAATAAGTTAAAAACAGCCCTCATTTGAAATATAAATTTACTTATAAATATAACTGTGTATGTGTTGAACTTCACAGAAACCAAAATTTTTAACTGTAGGCAGATTTTATGTGATTTTGTAGGAGTTGCCTTAGTTTGAATAACCAATTATTTTAATTTTGGCATGTTTTCTGAACATATTTCTCCTCACATTTCATCGCCAGGATGAAAATTAAGTTAAGTGAAGAAAGTATTTAAACAGGCGAAACGAGAAGGCAAGATAGAGCGTGATTTCGCTAGTGTAGCGCATGTTTGCTATTTTGTTCTCCAACTTTTAATCTTAGTTGCGGTTACGCATTCTGGCCATTTCTTAAGTCTATCGCCGGTGTAAGTTGTTGAGTCATCTTGTTAGCTGTAAGTAAATTGTATAGTTTAGTACTACTATTTGATATTTTTTAATTTATTGTTAAATCATCCTTAAAGTTCCTCACCGCAAGTAGTCGATGTTATTGTGAGTACGAAGTACGTGCATTTTTGTTAAAGATTTTGAGAATAAAAGGCTATTTACACCTTTTCTTCTGTGCTGTTATTCTTCACGCCTGTGCGAGATGTAGCCAGGCTTCCCACTAAGATCTCGACAATTGCATGATAGTGGGGGGGGGAATGAATGATCTTACAATTTAAGCCATTTTATCCTATCCAAAACACATAAAATTAGCACAACACTAAGATTTTATAATTGTTCTTATTGCTTAGGCTGTTTCTTATTGCTTCATGGCATCACGATTTATAAATATGCAATATGTATATAAAAGTGAATTATAATTAATATTAATTAAAACACATGTCTATTGTTTTAAGCATTTTAGTAAAATATTATGCAGCAGTGAAAGAAAAAATAATTTTTTTTTCCATTACTACATTTCCAATAAATTCACTTCTAAATTTTTTATGAGTTCCTATTTCATTAATGCATATATATTTGCTATTGGAATACAGAAATTAAGCGTTAAATAAATTACCATTTCTCTTTTTTCTCTGTATTCATGAAACTGTATAAATAAAGTGCATAAACAGGAAAACTATCGCTTCCAAAATCTTGATATGCAACTGAAAATAAATTAAGTTTAATAACATTACTACTTGAAATGCTATATGTTTAAACAAGAAAATTTTATTTTCTTACTTTTTTGTCAATACATTTTAGTTTAGTCTAACCAAAATTTAAAAAAAATATATCTTTAAGTATTTTTTAGTATTTTTTAGTATTTTAGAAAACACTATGATATTGACTGTACTAAAGAATGGTGAACTTGCATGTTTGCATTAGTTATTGAGAGCAAAATGACAATATGGCTATAAAACTCTATTTTGTTCAAAAAATCAAAATTTATAAAACTGGCTATCATAGTTATCAATTATTGTTTTTTATTACATATAAAATTATTAAATTCTAATTAATTTACCTGTGTTCTTGGCTACTAGAACTTCAGTAATGTCTAGCGACTATTCCCTGGTCTTCTTACAACTATAAAATATTAAGTCCAAAGAAGGGTTAAACTACCCTTTTATTCACTTAAAGAAATATTTCAGACGGCCCATCTTGGCCTTACATGAAAGCCTCCGCTTGGGATTAAGGTAGAAAATAAGGAATTAAACCAAATCTAATTAGCTAAACTTTAGCCGAAGCTGTACAAAAATAACTCAGGACAGGCTCGAAGGCAGAACGAGCTTTACTGAGAACTTCTAAGCTCTTCTACGGAAGTTACTGAACTTCCCATTAAATACTGATTCTACTTCATTTACATAAAACGCGATACTGAAATCTCATTCTGGCAGGGAGTTGTAGGTGGAAAAGAATTTAAAGGAAAATATTTCAGAATTAAATATAACTATTAGAAAATTAAAATAATACCTATAAAATAAACAAATAAATCTTTTTAACATAGGGAAAAAAACAAATAATTTTATTACAGTATTTATGCAATATTCATACAATTGTATTTATACTTAAATCTATATTTATTTTACTTATGCTGGAATGATAACAAAAGTTGTTGTGGATCTACGTCCTATTTAAAATTTCAACTCTCCAAATGTCAGAAAGCCTTACATAGAAAGTACGGTTAACCAAAACCACAGGTTAAATTTAAACTAGAAAACAGAGAGAATATTAATGTGAACGCTCAAGTACTTCTATTGCATATAATAGACTAGCCCCTTAAACATCACAGCTAAATATTACAATTTTCATATTATTTTTAATTCAAATGATGTGCATACAATGTATGCTTTTGTAAATAAAAATCACTTACGGTATTGCTCTCATACCACATTATTTAGATTATGCCAGAAAAGGAACTCAAATAAGTTTACAATATTCGAGGTACTAAAAAAAAAAAAAAAAAAAAAAAATCTAAATCGAAAATTACACGAAACTGAAATTACTACTTGTTTCAAAAATATTAAAGAATGGATTAGCATAAATTATAATCACAAATACTTTTACATTTTTAAATGCATGAAAACATATATCAAAAGTGCATATTCACGCGTTTTATGGCAGACTTTATTACTTGCATTTGGAGATATTTTATATCTATTCTAGCTGATGTAGATTCAAGAACTGCACATACAGATCAATTCTAACAAAGGCAGTTTCATATTAAGAATTTAATTCCTTTTAATAAATAAGATAATATTTTATATTCTTTCCATAATAATAAAACACTTAAAAAAAAATCTGAAATGTTTCAGATTTTAAATTACGTCCAAAGGGGCGTTTAACATTTTGTGTGTTACCTTTCTTTATTAAATATCATGTTCCTCGCACTTAAACCATAAGATCCAGTGCAACAGCAATATCGTAAAATAGTTTTAAAACGAGCATATCTTTAGAATTTCCGATACAGAGACTCACGCGCTGGAGATAAAAATGTTTTTTCTGCACAACGTTGCCATTGCTCGCTTTGAAATCCTTGAGCTTGTTAATCAAAAATTCGTCAAAGTTTTAAAAAATAGGAAATCGATCATAAAACAAATTTCAAATTTGGTCTTCCACATGCTCATATTCGTTGGAGGATTACGTTATTCAAAATTCGATGACTCTATGTACCGTTATTTTATGACAATGCGAGAAATATACATACATTTACGCAGATTTTCATTATTTAATTTCTTCAAATATAATGCAGGACTCTAACATTTTATGGCAACAGTTTGAAAAGTGAACCGACATTTATCCGTCCGACGGACGCAAAATGCCAAAACGAAACTAATAGTCCTTCGGGATTCAAATCCCTTTGGACTAATAAGAATAGAAATAAACGCAATCAGTTTTTGATTTTAGTTTCTAAAAGATAAAATATTTCATATGAGGAAAGAACACATCCGAAAACATTTCGGCAAAAACATCGCGGACAAAAGCGTTGCGACGAAAACAACGCGAGGCGAAAACGTCGGGATATAAACAAAACATCGTAAGAGAAAATAAAGCAAATAGAAAACATCATAGTACAAAATACAGTGGTGGAAAATAATGCGGTTCAAAATCTTATCACAGTAAAAAAAAAAAGTGCCTACAAATCATCGCACACATCCGTTTTTCAAGTTTTAAAAGCTGTAACTGCATATTCGCATAATGATTTGGAAGCGCAGGAAGGCAAGAAGGATATTTTTACTTCTATATTTTATATTTTTGAATGAACAAATAAATTTCTGTTGAAAAAGTGAGAAGGAAACTTAGATATTTAAAAACTGAAAATGAGCAGAAAATTAATGCAACTCTATAGTACTTAATTTTAAATTCACATAGTTGATTAACAAAGGTCATTAATAAATTAATCATTTTTACTTCCTTGTACGAAGTAAAAAGGAAGTATTGTAATCGCGAAAAGTTTCAGGCAGCATATTTCAACAAAAATATCCATTTTGACCGCTATCGAATGCAATTTAATGATGTTTTTGCTTGATATCTGTACATAAGGACGGAATAAAAGACTCTTTTCCTCCCCCCCCAAAAAAATGTAAAACTTCTTTAAAATGAATTCTGAAGAGAATTTTTCGTGGCATCTGTACGAACGTACGTACGTACGTACGTATCTCGCATAACTCAAAAACGAGTAGCCTCAGAACGTTGAAATTTTGTATATAGGACTGCTATAACATGTAGATGTGCACCTCGTATTTTGGTTTCAATTGGCCGCGCCGAACGTATATAAATATATTTATAAATATATCCACTCTGTTACCCGGCTCAGTGATCTCAGTTTCTTTACTCTTATATGTTTGTAAATTGTACATTTTTTGCTTTAAAAATGATTGAATTATGTTGTTTATATCTTCCGGTTAAGAGTTTTATGCCTTTAGTAAATCTGTATGCAATATTTTTAAAATTATCAACAATTTTAAAATTGTTTAAGTGCCGCTAAGCCTAATTTGATGGCGGCCATTGATCTTGTTTACATTTGAAAGAGCTGAGTAGCGGATTTGTTGCCAATCTAGAGAAACTTAGCTTCGCAACAACAAAGATAACGCCTTCATTTATTATTTAAATCATGCTTAATCCTTTCTGGAATTTTTTCGAGGAAATAAGCGTTTAAGATTTACTTCGTAATTTTTAATACAGATATTTTGAGTTTTTACGTATTTTTGCCTTGTCGCGAAGTGAGAACTAAATTAATTGAATGAGAAATACCCAATCGTCTGTGAAAATCTGTTTCTTTTTTGTTTTGTTTGTTTAATTTCTTTTATATATCGTTTTAGCTTTATTACAGTATTTGAATAGATCATGTGGCAACGATTAGATAATTCTTTAAATGATATAAATTTTGTGCATTCTGAGTTATAATATGAACTAAAATGCTTTTCATCCCTACAAATAGATGGCGCCACACGACGTCTCTTTTGCTCAAAGTTTACTTATTCTACGGATAGCGGCACAGGAGCCTCCGTTGCTAATAATCTCCGAGTTCTAGCACAGCATGTGAACAAGTACTTCCATATTATTGGATACAACTTACTCGGTTCCTCAAGCATTTAAAAGTCAAGTATAATATATTGGTAAAGGCTGTTAATGGTCGATTGCCTCTTAGTAAGTGATAAGACACAGACATAGACATAGTTATAGTATGAACGTAATATAATACTGTTAAGTGAACCTATCGCCAGAGTGTCGCTATGGTAAACAAATAGAATGGATTTTAAAGAATGCATTTATTCTATTGTGGTTTATGCGCTGTCGGCGAAGTAGGTTTAATTCAATCCAATAAGTTTAAATGAAATGCAAGAAAAAATGCGTATAATTTAATATTCCAATACAAGGAGGTCATGTGGTGTACACATCAGATTTTCTAAAATGTCTTACCGATAATTTTTCGTGAAAAATACAGTCTAAAAATGTTTAGAAAAATGAAGATAAATAAGAGCATAAGGTTAACTCTGTAAAAATTACTCCGTTAATTATCAAATTATTTTCTTTCACGTTTGTTAATCTGATATTGTTTTAGTGAAAATTATATCTTGTTTTGTTTCCGTTTCTTCTTAAAAGTTCCGTTAACATTTTCATGTATAACGTGTAATGAATTATTTGGACGTCTATTTGATAGTTACGACGATTGTCAGTTACATAATATGTCGGTATGGGATTTGGATTTATTGGATTATGCCAAAACGCACTAGGGCTATGTTTTTAAGTGGAGGAATATCTTAGTAGAGTACTTTCTTAGAAACTGGCACATATTTACGTTATACTTTAGGAAAAATCTCATGCAACCAGCTCGTACACTTAATCGAAATACCAGTGCTCAGCGACTTAACCGCTCGGGGACTGGTGGCCAGTTCAGCGGGGAAGTATTAACGGAAACTAATTCGTTTTTATACATCAGTCATTGGATGACTCAAAAATAAAAGTATATTCAGAAAATTTAAACGCAATCTCTTTTTATTTATTTATTTATTATTTTAGAAATAATATGTAATTGCAGTGAACCTTCTCAAAAATACTGGTACCTCCCTAAGACTACTAGTCTTTTTGAGAACAGAAATAAACATAAGTTTTAATTATTATGGAAGATAGCACATCTACGCAACTTTAAAGAGATGTGGTGAAA